ATCTAGAAAAAATTTCTTAAGGCATTCATGCATTAGTTTGAACTTTCCAAGCAAAAGATGCAATGTGTAATACTTTTTTTTTTTTCTTTTTCTTTTTCTTTTTTTGAGATAGGATCTTGTTCTGTTGCCCAGGCTGGAGTGCAGTGGCACAATCTCAGCTTACTGCAGCCTCCGCCTCCCTGGTTCAAGCGATGCTCCTGCCTCAGACTCCCAAGTAGCTGGGCTTACAGGCGTGAACCACCATGCACGGCTAATTTTTGTATTTTTAGTAGAGACAAGGTTTCACCATGTTGACCAGGCTGGTCTCAAACTCCTGACCACCTCAGCCTCCCAAAGTGCTGGGATTGCAGGCATTAGCCACCACGCCCAGCCTTGTACTTTTAGTAGAGACTGTGTTTCAGCATGTTGACCAAGCTGGTCTTGAACTGACCTCAAGTGATCTGCCCACCTCCACCTCCAAAAATGCTGGGATTATAGGCATGAGCCACCACACTCAGCCTGTAATACTTTTTTGAAGATCTAGAATCACATTGTTCAAAGAGATAGAAAGTGAGCCATAAATGTAACTTAAATTTTTCAACAGCTACTTTTTTTTTTTTTTTTTTGAGACAGGGTCTCACTCTGTTGTCCAAGCTGGAGTGCAGTGGTATGATCATGAGGCTTACTGTAGCCTTGACCTCCCAGGCTCAAGTGATCTTATCACCTCAGCCTCCCAAGTAGCTGGGACTATAAGTGCACACCACCATGTCAAGCTAAATGTTGTGTTTTCTGTACAGACGGGGTTTCGCCATGTTGCCCAGGCTGGTCTTGAACTTTGGGCTTAACCCATCTGCCCACCTCGGCATCCCAAAGTGCTATGATTACAGGTTTGTGTCATGCCTAGCCAGTATTTTAGTTCGCTCAGTCTTTTCAAGTCATATACAAGTTCATTTTCTTTTGAGTTTAGTTAACAACCTTTATACACGTGTTCTTTTTCTAGCACAAAGAAAGATTTGAATCCCTATCTTGGTTGATTTCTGCATACCTAGTTCCGCTGCATTATTTATATTATTGTGTAGACTACAGCACAAGACAGCTTAGCTTGTCACTCTACTGTACTATATTCTGCAGTACAATCATAAGGGAATTTCCTCTCTTCCCCTGCTCTGAATTGTTCAGTTGTACTATTTGCTGGAGTAATGCTCGATGCCTCCGTGATCCATTATACTAGAGTATATGTAGTATTTGTAGATTCTGAAGGAGCGGGAGCCTCTATTCTGAGTTTTAAAGGTACTTATGTACAGTGGAGGTAGCTTTTTGACAGCCTCATCTTCCAAACTATAGAGTCATTGTTTTGTTGAGTGCAATATGGTACTTGAAGCATCTATATCGGCAAAGAAGGACCCGAGTCTCCTTGACCTTACCTACTATATTCACTTTCTCTAGTAGGAAGATTGTGGGTGCCTCTCCCCAGACTTAGTTTCCCTGTCAAAAAAGAAAAAAGGAAGATTGTGGGCTTTGCAACAATCCAATTCTGGATCCAATATAACCTTCACTGCTTAATTACTGTGTGTTCTGGGACAAGCCTCTACTCTATAAAAATGAAGATAAGGCCAGGCGTGATGGCTCATGCCTGTAATCCCAGCACTTTGGGATGCCAAGGCGGGAGGATCACTTGAGGCTAGGAATTCGAGACCAGACTGGGCAATATAGCGAAACCACATCTGTACAAAAATAAAAATAAAATGTAGCCCGGCGCAATGGCTCACACCTGTAATCCCAGCACTTTGGGAGGCTAAAGCAGGCGGATCACTTGAGGTCAGGAGTTCAAGACTATAGAAAGACAGAAAGAAAGAGAGATGGGTTTTTTTATTTGTTTGTTTGTTTGTTTCTTTGTTTGTTTTTGAGATGGAGTTTCGCTCTTTTTGCCCAGGCTGGAGTGCAATGGTGCGATCTCAGCTTACCGCAATCTCTGCCTCCCGGGTTCAAGAGATTCTCTTGCCTCAACCTCCAGAGTAGCCAGGATTACAGGCACATGGCACCATGCCCGGCTAATTTTTGTATTTTTAGTAGAGACGGGGTTTCTCCGTGTTGGTCAGGCTGGTCTCTCCCAAAGTGTTGGGATTACAGGGGTGAGCCACCATGCCTGGCCTTTTTTTTGTTTGTTTGTTTTTGTTTTTGTTTTTGTTTTTTGTTTTTTGAGACGGAGTCTCGCTCTGTCGCCCAGGCTGGAGTGCAGTGGCCCGATCTCGGCTCACTGCAAGCTCCGCCTCCTGGGTTTACGCCATTCTCCTGCCTCAGCCTCCTGAGTAGCTGGGACTACAGGCGCCCGCCACCGCGCCTGGCTAATTTTTTGTATTTTTAGTAGAGACGGGGTTTCACCGTGGTCTCGATCTCCTGACCTTGTGATCCGCCCGCCTCGGCCTCCCAAAGTGCTGGGATTACAGGCGTGAGCCACCGCGCCCGGCCCTTTTTTTTTTTTTTTTTTTTTGAGACAGAGTCTTCCTCTGTTGCCCAGGGTGGAGTACAGTGGTACTCTCCCAGCTCACTGCAACCTCTGCCTTCCTGGATTTCAGTGATTCTCATGCCTCAGCCTCCCAAGTAGCTGGGATTCAGGCGTGTGCTCACCATGCCTGGCTAATTTTTTTGTATTTCTAGTAGAGATGGGGTTTCACCACGTTAGCCAGGCTGGTCTCAAACTCTTGGCCTCAAGTGATCTGCCTGCCTCGGCCTCCTGGGATTGCAGACATGAGCCACTGCACCCGGCCAAGAGAGGGTAATAAATGTTAAATTACCTGACTAGTAAAAAATATTCTCTAAGTGTCTTCTCTCACAATTCCCAATGCCTTTTTTTTTTTTTTTTTTTTTTTGAGGCAGAGTCTCACTCTGTCGCCCAGGCTGGGGTGCAGTGGTGCAATATTGGCTCACTGTAACCCCCACCTCCCAGGTTCAAATGATTCTCATGCCTCAGCCTCCCAAGTAGCTAGGACTACAGGTGTACCACCACCACAGCCAGCTAATTTTTGTATATTTAGTAGAGACAGGGTTTCACCACATTGGCCAGGCTGGTCTTGAACTCCTGGCCTCAAGTGATTCACCCACCTCCTAAAGTGCTGGGATTACAGGTGTGGACCACTGTGCACGGCCCTAGTCTCAACACTGTTTTTCGTAATTTTTTTTAGCCCCTTAATCTTTTCTTTCCTGGGTCTCTTCATTGTCAGTGTCAGCTATTTACTCCCTACCTAGTCACCCCCTTCACCAGTATATTATGTCCTTTATGTTTTATTTTTCAGGATCTTATTTTGCTTTTCTATTAATCCCCTCCATCTATAATAGTACTAGACATAGTAAATATTGGTTGTATGAGTGAATCGCTGCTTTTAATTATCATCACCATTACTCTCTCTACTTCTGGTCTATGATCCACTTTGAGTTAACTTTGGTTATTTGGTGTGAGATAGGAGTATAACTTCATTCTTTTGTGTGTGTGTGTGTGTGTGTGTGTGTGTGTGTGTGTGTGTGTGTCACAGAGATTTACTCTCATTGCCCAGGCTGGAGTGCAATGGCGCGATTTTGGCTCATTGCATCCTCCGCCTCCCAGGTTCAAGCGATTCTCCTGCCTCAGCCTCCCGAGTAGCTGGGATTACAGGTATGTGCCACCACGCCCAGCTAATTTTGTATTTTTAGTAGAGAGGGTGTTTCACTGTGTTGCCCAGGCTGATCTCGAACTCCTGACCTCAGGTGATCTGCCCGCCTCAGTCTTCCAAAGTGCTGGGATTACAGGCGTGAGCCACTGTGCCCGGCCAAGAGTATAACTTCATTCTTTTACATGTGGGTATATTCTTGTCCCAACACTATTTGTTAAAAAAACAAAAAGTATTATTTTCCCATTTAATCATCTATGGCCTGGGTACGGTGGCTCATGCCTGTAATCCCAGCACTCTGGGAGGCCATGGCAGGTGGATCAATTTGAGGCCAGGAGTTCAAGACTAGCCTGGCCAACGTGGTATAACTAAAAATATAAAAAATTAGCTTGGCGTGGTGGTACATGTCTGTAATCCCAGCTACTCGGGAGGCTGAGGTACGAGAATTGCTTGAGCCTGCAGTGAGCCGAGATTGTGTCACTACCCTTCAGCCTGGGTGATAGAGCAAGACCCTGTCTCAAAAAAAAAACTAAGAATATAAAAATCATCTGGTATTTATTATTGTTGAAAATTACTTGATCACAGATGTATGTATGAGTTTATTTCTATACTGTCAATTCTATTTTATTGACGTATGTGTCTATTCTTATGCTATTACCACACTGTCTTGATTACTGTAGCTTTGTGGTGAGGTGTTGAGATTTTAAACTAATTATAAGCATCTTACATGAACTACTTACCATTTATATTTGATTATGCAACATGAAATAATGAATATATCATTAAATATGTCATATTAAGTTTTATGTGATCATAACAGTAAGCCATATGCATGTAAGTTCAGTTTTCATAGATCATTGCTTATGTAGTTTAGGCTTTTGCTTATGCAGCATCTAAAAACAATTAGGAAACTATAGCTTGTAATTCACCTGCCATTACTTTTTAAATGGCTTTTTTTTTTTTTTTTTTTTTTTTTTTTTCAGACGGAGTCTCGCTCTGTCGCCCAGGCTGGAGTGCAGTGGCCGGATCTCAGCTCACTGCAAGCTCCGTCTCCCGGGTTCCCGCCATTCTCCTGCCTCAGCCTCCCGAGTAGCTGGGACTACAGGCGCCGCCACCTCGCCCGGCTAATTTTTTGTGTTTTTAGTAGAGACGGGGTTTCGCCGTGTTAGCCAGGATGGTCTCGATCTCCTGACCTTGTGATCCGCCCGTCTCGGCCTCCCAAAGTGCTGGGATTACAGTCTTGAGCCACCGCGCCCGGCCTTAAATGGCTCTTAAGGGCACTTGTGAGATTATCTTTTCATGGCTATTTGCCTTTTGAGTAATCTCTCTACAAAAGGAAGTAACTTAAATTGTTCTTTCTTTCTTTATAATTTATAGATTTTGCATGCTGAAACTTCTCAACCAGAAGAAAGGGCCTTCACAGTGTCCTTTGTGTAAGAATGATATAACCAAAAGGTATATAATTTGGTAATGATGCTAGGTTGGGAGCAACAACAGTAGGAAAAAGTAGAAATTATTTAATAACATAGCTAACGTTCCTATAAAACCATTCATCAGTAGAGAAATTTATAAAAGAGTTTTTAGCAGACAATAAATTATTTCCAAAGTTATTTTCCTGAAAGTTTTATAGGACATCTGTCTTATACAGGTATTAGAAACTTACTGCCTTTCTCTAATGCTTCTAAATACCGTAAAAACTTACAGACTTACGTAAAGTAGGGCTGTATCGCTGTGCCTCCATTGTCTGCTAATCTTGTTTTTATTTCTTCATTGTGCTTCCTTTTCTTTTTTCTTTGAGACGGAGTCTCGCTCTATTGCCCAGGCTAGAGTGCAGTGGCACGATCTCGGCTCACTGCAAGCTGTGCCTCCTGGGTTCACGCCATTCTGCCTCAGCCTCCCAAGTAGCTGGGACTACAGGCACCCGCCACCACGCCCGGCTAATTTTTTGTATTTTTAGTAGAGATGGGGTTTCACCATGTTAGCCAGGATGTTCTCGATCTGCTGACCTCTTGATCCGCCCGCCTCGCCCTCCCAGAGTGCTGGGATTACAGGTGTGAGCCACCACACCCAGCCTTTTTTTTTTTTTTTTTTTTCAAGACAGGGTCTTGCTCTGTCACTGAGGCTGGAGTGTAGGGGCATGATCTTGGCTCACTGGAGCCTCCGCCTTGAGCCTCCTCCTGCCTTAGCCTCCCAAGTAGCTGGGACTACAGACGCATGCTACCATGTCTGGCCAATTTTTGTATTTTTTATAGACATGAGGTATCGCCATGTTGCCCAGGCTGGTAACTTCAGAGCTCAGGTGATCTGCCCACCTTGGCCTCCCAAAGTGATGGGGTTACAGGTGTGTGTTTATTTCTATCTAATTATTTACATAAACACAATGTATTTTTATATTGTGTATCTCTTCTGCTACAATGTAAATTCTATGAGAGTAGTAACTTTGTCTGTCTCAACACTGTTTTTTGTAATTTGGTGCATAGTAGGCACTCAGATGCTTAAAGGAATGAATGGTGTTTTAATTCCACTTTCCTAAACCCAGATCTCCCTTTGGACATTGTTATCTATGTGTTTTCAAAGAAATGTAATCATAATTTGACAGAAATCCTTGAGAGGCCGAACTAACAGTGAGGGATTGGGCAGGGTTCAGATGTTAAGAACAGTAAGCTCAGCAGGATGTGATTGTTTATGCCTATAACCCTAGCACTCCAGGAGGCTGAGGTGGGATGATTGCTTGAGGCCAAGAGTTTGAGATCAGCCTGGGCAACATAGTGAGACCTCATCACTACCAACAAAAATAAGTAAATATACATGGTGGCATATGCCCATAGTCCTAGCTACTTGGGAGGCTGTAGTGGGAGGATAGCTTGAGTACAGAAGTTTGAGACTGCAGTGAGCTATGACTGGCATTGCATGTTAGCCTGGGCAATACAGCAAGACCCTGTCTCTAAATTTTAAAAAAAAAAAAGTACTCTAGTTTTCTATGCAATGGATTATATCTCCTGTGGATTTAGAGCAGTATTGTATCACAATTTTAGGCATTTGGTAGGCTTAAACGAATGACAAAAAGTTACTAAATCACTGTCACACAGTTTATACAGATGTCAGTGATGTATTGATTATAGAGGTTTTCTACTGTTGCTGCATCTTATTTTTATTTGTTTACATGTCTTTTCTTATTTTAGTGTCTTTAAAAGGTTGATAATCACTGCTGAGTGTGTTTCTCAAACAATTTAATTTCAGAAGCCTACAAGAAAGTACAAGATTTAGTCAACTTGTTGAAGAGCTATTGAAAATCATTCATGCTTTTCAGCTTGACACAGGTTTGCAGTGTAAGTGTTGAATATCCCACGAATGACACTCAAGTGCTGTCCATAAAAACTCAGGAAGTTTGCACAATTACTTTCTGTGACATGATAAGACCTTTTAGTCTAGGTTAATTTTAGTTCTGTATCTGTAATCTGTTTTAAAAAAATTACTCCCACTGGTCTCACACCTTATTTTATCAATTGTAAGGTGCACATTTTTCTTTTTTTTTTTTTTTTTTTTTTTTGAGATGGAGTCTTGCTCTGTCACCCAGGCTGGAGTGCTGTGGCCGGATCTCAGCTCACTGCAAGCTCCGCCTCCCGGGTTCCCGCCATTCTCCTGCCTCAGCCTCCCGAGTAGCTGGGACTACAGGCGCCCGCCACCTCGCCCGGCTAGTTTTTTGTATTTTTTTTTTTTTTTTTTTTTTTTTTTTGAGACAGAGTCTCGCTCTGTCGTCCAGGCTGGAGTGCAGTGGCCGGATCTCAGCTCACTGCAAGCTCCGCCTCCCGGGTTCCCGCCATTCTCCTGCCTCAGCCTCCCGAGTAGCTGGGACTACAGGCGCCCGCCACCTCGCCCGGCTAGTTTTTTGTAGTTTTTTTTTTTTTTTTTTTTTTTTTTTGAGACAGAGTCTCGCTCTGTCGTCCAGGCTGGAGTGCAGTGGCCGGATCTCAGCTCACTGCAAGCTCCGCCTCCCGGGTTCACGCCATTCTCCTGCCTCAGCCTCCCGAGTAGCTGGGACTACAGGCGCCCGCCACCTCGCCCGGCTAGTTTTTTGTATTTTTTAGTAGAGACGGGGTTTCACCGTGTTAGCCAGGATAGTCTCGATCTCCTGACCTCGTGATCCACCCGTCTCGGCCTCCCAAAGTGCTGGGATTACAGGCTTGAGCCACCACGCCCGGCCATTTTTTTTGTATTTTTTAGTAGAGACGGGGTTTCACCGTGTTAGTCAGGATGGTCTCGATCTCCTGACCTTGTGATCCACCCGTCTCGGCCTCCCAAAGTGCTGGGATTACAGGCTTGAGCCACCGCGCCCGGCCAAGGTGCACATTTTTCACATCTTAACGTCTCTGAAATTGGGAGCATTTTACTATTGATGGTGTGTCATTTGTTTAATTTGAGTGCTTGCTTTCTTAGTGATACAGAAAATAATAGTGCAGCTTACATTGTTGGTATCTTAACTTTAGTGAAATACAGTATTGATAGGCAGATTTCTTAGTGTTAAGGTGGAAGACAAGGACTCTAAGTAAGTTTGATGGTCTTGTATTTGTTTTTGTTTCCTAGGAGTAAAATTTCCAGTTGATTTTTTAAAATTTGATTTTTCAAAAAATCACAGGTAACCTTAATGCGTTGTCTTAACACAACAAAGAGCATACATAGGATTTCTCTTGGTTTCTTTGATTATAATTCATACATTTTTCTCTAACTGCAAACATAATGTTTTCCCTTGTAATTTACAGTTGCAAACAGTTATAATTTTGCAAAAAAGGAAAATCACTCTCCTGAACATCTAAAAGATGAAGTTTCTATCATCCAAAGTATGGGCTACAGAAACCGTGCCAAAAGACTTCTACAGAGTGAACCCGAAAATCCTTCCTTGGTAAAACCATTTGTTTTCTTCTTCTTCTTCTTTTTTTTTTTTTTTTTTTTTTTTTTGAGACGGAGTCTTGCTCTGTGGCCCAGGTTGGAAGCAGTCCTCCTGCCTCAGCCCCTCTAGTAGCTGGGATTACAGGCATGCGCCACCATGCCCAGCTAATTTTTGTATTTTTAGTAGAGACGGGGTTTCATCATGTTGGCCAGGCTGGTCTCAAACTCCTGACCTCAGGTGATCCACCCACCTCGGCCACCCAGAGTGCTGGGATTACAGGTGTGAGCCACTGTGCCTGGCCGGTAAACCCATTTTCATTTATTCTGGCACCATCTCTTTATTGAGCATTGTGAGTATGTTAGTATATGTGCTAGATGCTCATAGATTTATATAAAAAGTTAATGAAGAAGGAAAGATGGTATATTCAGTGGTTAGACAAGTGTTCGAATCAGTTAGAGTTCAGAGAAGGTCAGGGTACCTGGTATGATCAAGAGAGAGACCTTACAGCCAGGTGAGGTGGATGTACCTATAATCCTAGCTACTTGGGAGGCTGAAATGGGAGGATCACTTGAGCCCAGGTTTGAGACCATCCCAGGCAACATAGCAAAATCCCCATCAGATACACCAAAAAGACAGATTTTTTTTTTTTTTTTAATTTTTTTGAGACAGAGTCTCACTCTGTCATCCAGGTGCCCAGGCTGGAGTGCAGTGACACGATGTCAGTTCACTGCAACCTCTGCCTCCCAGGTTCAAGCAATTCTCCTGCCTCAGCCTCCTGAGTAGCTGGGACTACAGGGGCATGCCACCAGACCTGGCTAATTTTTGTAATTTTAGTAGAAACGGGGTTTCACCATATTGGTCAGGCTGGTCTTGAATTCCTGACCTCAGGTGATCCCACCTTGGCCTCTCAAAGTGCTGGGATTACAGGCATGAGCCACCACGCCCAGCCAAAAAAGAGAGCTATTATAGGCCCTTCCTTGCTTTGGAGCTTTATCTGCTCTGTGATGCTTATCTAAAATAGCTGTAAGTTCACTGATATTTTTAAGCATTTGGAAATTACTTCAGCTGGGTGTCATGGCTCATGATTGTAATCCCAACACTTTGGGAGGCTGAGGTAGGAAGTCCTTTGAGCCCAGTGTAGGCAACACAGTGAGACACTGTCTCTACAATTAAAAAAAAAAAAAGCCGGGTGCCATGGCTCACGCCTGTAATCCCAGCACTGGGAGGCTTGAGGATTGCCTGAGCTCAGGAGTTCAAGATCAGTTTGGGCAATATAGCAAGTCCTTGTCTATTTTAAAAGTGTATTTAAATTATCCGGGCATGGTGGTGTGTGCCTGTAAAGTCGCAGCTACTTGGGAAGCTGAGATAGGAGGATCACTTGAGTTCAGGAGATGTAGACTACTGTGAGCTATGATCACTCCACCACGCAGCGACAAAGCAAGACCTAGTTGCAAAAAAAAAAAAACCTGGCCGGGCACAGTGGCTCACAGTGCTGTAATCCCAGCACTTTGGGAGGCCAAGGCCGGCGGATCACGAGGTCAGGAGATCAAGACCATCCGGGCTAACACGGTGAAACCCGTCTGTACTAAAAAAATACAAAAAAATTAGCCGGGCGTGCTGGCGGGGGCCTGTAGTCCCAGCTGCTCTGGAGGCTAAGGCAAGAGAATGGTGTGAACCTGGGAGGCGGAGCTTGCAGTGAGCCAAGATTGCGTCACTGCACTCCAGCCTGGGTGACAGATCGAGACTCCATCTCAAAAAAAAAGAGAGAGAAAATTACTTCAACTTAAAAGGTGTAACTGTTAAAGACAATGTAGTGATTTGCTCTGTTGTTACTTATATGTGCATGAATGATGGAGATCTTAAAAGTATTCATGGCTGGGCGCGGTGGCTCATGCCTGTAATCCCAGCACTTTGGGAGGCCGAGGCGGGCGGATCACGAGGTCAGGGAATTGAGACCATCCTAGCTAACACAGTGAAACCCCATCTCTACTAAAAATACAAAAAATTGGCCGGGCACGGTGGCTCAAGCCTGTAATCCCAGCACTTTGGGAGGCCGAGACGGGCGGATCACGAGGTCAGGAGATCAAGACCATCCTGGCTAACATGGTGAAACCCCATCTCTACTAAAAAAAAAAAATACCAAAAACTAGCCGGACGAGGTGGCGGGCACCTGTAGTACCAGCTACTCGGGAGGCTGAGGCAGGGGAATGGCATAAACCCGGGAGGCAGAGCTTGCAGTGAGCCAAGATCGCACCACTGCACTCCAGCCTGGGCAACAAAGCCAGACTCCGTATCAAAAAAAAAAAAAAAAGTATTCATTCTGGAGCTGGGCGTAGTAGCTTGCACCTTTAATCCCAGCACTTTGGGAGGCTGAGGCGGGCAGATCATTTGAGGTCGGGAGTTTGAGACCAGCCTAGCCAACACGGTGAAACCCCGTCTCTACTAAAAATACAAAAATTAGCTGGGTGTGGTGGCACGTGCCTGTAATCCCAGCTACTCGGGAGGCTGAGGCACAAGAATTGCTTGAACCTAGGACCGGGAGGTTGCAGCGAGCCGAGATCACGCTACTGCAATCCAGCCTGGGCGACAGTGAGACTCTGTCTCAAAAAAGAAAAAAAATATAAGTGTTCTGGCTGGGCAGGGTGGCTCATGCCTGTAATCCCAGCACTTTGGGAGGCCGAGGCCGGCGGATCACGAGGTCAGGAGATCGAGACCATCCCATCCCAGCTCACACAGTGAAACCCCGTCTCTACTAAAAATACAAAAAACTAGCCGGGCGTGATGGCGGGCGCCTGTAGTCCCAGCTACTCGGGAGGCTGAGGCAGGAGAATGGCGTAAACCCGGGAGGCGGAGCTTGCAGTGAGCCGAGATCACGCCACTGCACTCCAGCCTGGACGACAGAGCGAGACTCTGTCTCAAAAAAAAAAAAAAAAAAAAAAAAAAAAAAAAAAAAAAAAAATACAAAAAACTAGCCGGGCGAGGTGGCGGGCGCCTGTAGTCCCAGCTACTCGGGAGGCTGAGGCAGGAGAATGAAAAGAACCCAGGAGGCAGATCTTGCAGTGAGCCAAGACTGCACCACTGCACTCCAGCCTGGGCGACAGAGCCAGACTCCGTCTCAAAAAAAAAAAAAAAGACCAGCCTGGGCAATGTGGCGAAACCCCATCTTGACAAAAAATTAAAAAATTAGCCAGGCATGGTGGCGTGCGTGTGTAGTCCCAGCTCCTTGGGAGGCTGAGGTGGGAGGATCTCTTGAACCCAGGAGACAGAGGTTGCAGTGAACCGAGATCACACCACCACGCTCCAGCCTAGGCAATAGAGCAAGACTCTGTCTAAAAAAATACAAATAAAATAAAAGTAGTTCTTATAGTACCAGCCTTCATTTTTCAAAAGCTACAGAAAGGCTAAAAAGGAAGAAAAAAAGAGTAATGTTGGGCTTTTAGTTCCTATACTGAATGTTCTTAGGAGTGCTGGGGTTTTATTGTCATGATTTATCCTTTTTAAAAATGTTATTGGCTGGGCACGGTTGGCTCATGGCTGTAATCCCAGCGCTTTGGGAGGCCGAGGCGGGCAGATCATTTGAGGTCAGGAGTTTGAGACCAGCCTGGCTGACACTGCAAAGCCCCGTCTCTACTAAAAATACAAAAATTAACTAGGCGTGGTGGCGCGCGCCTGTAGTCCCAGCTACTCGGGAGGCTGAGGCAGGAGAATCAATTAAACCCGGGAGGCGGAGGTTGCAGTGTGCCAAGATCGTGCCACTGCACTCCAGCCTGGCAACAGAGCAAGACTCTCTCAAAACAACAACAAAAATATATATATGTATGCAAAAATTAGCTAGGCATAGTGGCACATGCTTGTAGTCCCAGCTACTCAGGAGGCTAAGGCAGGAGAATCTCTTGAACTCAGGAGGCGGAGGTTGCAGTGAGCTGAGTTTGCGCCACTGCACTCCAGCCTGGGTGACAGAGCAGGACTCTGTCCCCCCCCCCACAGAGAAATGTTGTCAGGTGTGATTGGAATGTATATCAAGTATCAGCTTCAAAATATGCTATATTAATACTTCAAAAAATCACACAAATAATCAGTTTTGAAAAATTTAAGACAACAGAAAGAAAAAATATTCAAATCACATGTATCCCAGACATTTTTTTTATTACTACTACTACTATTTGTAGAGACTGGGTCTCACTCTGTTGCTTACTCTGGTCTTGAACTCCTGGCCTTAAGCAGTCCTGCTGCCCTAGCCTCCCAAAGTGCTGTGATTATGGGCATGAGCTACCACTCCCAACCACTGAGATTTTAGTGTGTAAATTTCCAGGCATTTTTTTCCAGGCATCATACATGTTAGCTGACTGATGATGGTCAATTTATTTTGTCCATGGTGTCAAGTTTCTCTTCAGGAGGAAAAGCACAGAACCAGCCAACAATTGCTTGACCATTCTTTACCATACTGTTTAGCAGGAAACCAGTCTCAGTGTCCCACTCTCTAACCTTGGAATTGTGAGAACTCTGAGGACAAAGCAGCAGATACAACCTCAAAAGAAGTCTGTCTACATTGAACTGGGTAAGGATCTCAGATTTCTTAAGTATTTAATAATAATTGCTGGATTGCTTGTTATCATTTTGCAAAAAATCTTGGTGATAATTTACATTTGTGGTAGGCAGCTTTGGGAAGTGAATTTTATGAGCCCTATGGTGAGTTATAAATAATGTAAAAGATGGCCGGGCGCGGTGGCTCACGCCTGTAATCCCAGCACTTTGGGAGGCCGAGGCGGGCGGATCACGAGGTCAGGAGATCGAGACCATCCTGGCTAACACGGTGAAACCCCGTCTCTACTAAAAATGCAAAAAATTAGCCGGGCGAGGCGGCGGGCGCCTGTAGTCCCAGCTACTCGGGAGGCTGAGGCAGGAGAATGGCGTGAACCTGGGAGGCGGAGCTTGCAGTGAGCCGAGATCGTGCCACTGCACTCCAGCCCGGGCGACAGAGCGAGACTGCGTCTCAAAAAATAATAATAATAATAATAATAATAATAATGTAAAAGATGCAGTTCCCACCTTGAAGCATCTTACTTTAAAAAGGGAGCAAAAGAGTCTGGGCACGGTGGCTCATGCCTGTAATCCCACCACTTTGGGAGGCCGAGGCGGGCGGATCACCTGAGGTTGGGAATTCGAGACCAGACTGGCCAACATGGAGAAATCCTGTCTCTACCAAAAAATACAAAATTAGCCAGATGTGGTGGCACATGCCCGTAATCTCAGCTACTCGGGAGGGTGAGACAGGAGAATCACTTGAACCCGGGAGGCGGAGGTTGAGGTAAGCTGAGATTGCACCATTGCCCTCCAGCCTGGGCAAGAAGAGCGAAACTCCATCTGAAAAAAGAAAAGGGAGCAAAAGAAAGAATATCTGGTTTTAAATATGTGTAAATATGTTTTGGAAAGATGGAGAGTAGCAGTAAGAAAAAACATGATGGATTGCTACAGTATTTAGTTCCAAGATAAATTGTACTGGATGAGGAAGCCTTTTAAGAAGAGCTCATGCCTGTAATCCCAGCACTTTGGGAGGCCGAGGCAGGTGGATCACCTGAGGTCGGGAGTTCAAGACCAGCCTGACCAACGTGGAGAAACCCCGTCTCTACTTAAAAAAAAAAAAAAACAAAAAAAAAAAACAAAATTAGCTGGGGTGGTGGCACATTCCTGTAATCCCAGCTACTCGGGAGGCTGAAGCAGGAGAATCACTTAAACTCAGGAGGCGGACGTTGCGGTGAGCCAAGATCGCGCCATTGCACTCTGGCCTGGGCGACAAGAGTGAAACTCGGTCTCAAAAAAAAAAAAAAAAAAAAAAAGAGCTGTATCTTGGCTGGGCAGGATGGCTCATGCCTGTAATCCTAACACTTTGGAAGGCCGAGACAGAAGGACTGGAGTCCAGGAGTTTAAGACCAGCCTGGCCAACATAGGGAAACCCTGTCTCTATTTTTAAAATAATAATACATTTTGGCCAGGTGCAGTGGCTCATGCCTGTAATCCCAACACTTTGGGAGGCTGAGGCAGGTAGACCACCTGAGGTCAGAGTTCAAGACCAGCCTGGATAACATGGTAAAACCCTTCTTTACTAAAAATACAAAAAAAAAAAATTAGCTGGGTGTGGTGGTGCACACGTGTAATCCCAGCTACTCAAGAGGCTGAGGCAGGAGAATTGCTTGAACCAGGATGGCGGAGGTTGCAATGAGCCGACACCATGTCTCTACACTCCAGCCTGGGCAATAGAGTGAGACTCCATCTCAAAAAAAAATAAAAATTGTTTTTAATAATAAATTTTTTTAAGCTTATAAAAAGAAATAAAAAGAAGAGTTGAGGCCAGCATAGTATCTAACACTTGTAATCTCAGCAGTGGCAGAGGATTGCTTGAAGCCAGGAGTTTGAGACCAGCCTGGGCAACATAGCAAGACCTCATCGCTAAAAAAAAAATTTTTTTTTAAATTAGCTGGGTGTGGTGGTGTGTATCTGTAGTCCCAGCTACTCAGGAGGCATAGGTGAGCAGGTAGATTGAATCCAGGGGTTTGAGGCTATAGTGAGCTATGATCATGCCACTGTACTCCAACCTGGGTGACAGAGCAAGACCCCATCTTGAAAAAAAAAAAAAAAGAAGAGCTGCTGAGCTCAGAATTCAAACTGGGCTCTCTAATTGGGTTATTTTTTTAGAATATATTTATAATTAAAAAGGGTAGCTGTCTTTTGAGCTCCCAGGCACCACCATCTATTTATCATAACACTTACTGTTTTCCCCCCTTACGATCATAAATTCCTAGACAACAGGCATTGTAAAAATAGTTATAGTAGTTAATATTTAGGAGCACTTAACTATATTCCAGGCACTATTGTGTTTTTCTTGTATAACTCATTTAGATGCATGTCAGACCTCTGAGATTGTTCCTATTATACTTATTTTACAGATGAGGAAATTAAGGCACAGAGAGGTTATGAAATTTTTCCAAGGTAGTAAACCTAGTAAGTGGCTGAGCCATGATTCAAACCTAGGAAGTTAGATGTCAGAGCCTGTGCTTTTTGTTTTTGTTTTTGTTTTCAGTAGGAACAGGGTCTCACCTTGCTGGCCAGGCTGGTCTCAAACTCCTAAGCTCAAATAATCCACCCATCTCGGCCTCCTAAAGTGCTGGGATTACAGGTGAGAGCCACTGTACCTGGCCAAGCCCGTGTTTTTAACCACTTCTCTGTATTACACACTGGCTTAACTAGCGTTGTACCTGCCACATACTAGATGCTCAATAAATATTTCTAGTTGAATATCTGTTTTTCAACAAGTACATTTTTTGTTTAACCCTTTTAATTAAGAAATCTTTTATTGATTTTTTTTGGGGGAAAATTTTTTAGGATCTGATTCTTCTGAAGATACGGTTAATAAGGCAACTTATTGCAGGTGAGTCAAAGAGAACCTTTGCCTATGAAGCTGGTATTTCCTATTTAGTTAATATTAAGGATTGATGTTTCTCTCTTTTTAAAATATTTTAACTTTTATTTTAGGTTCAGAGACGTATGTGCAGTTTGTTATATAGGTAAACACACGATTTGGGATTTGGCATACAGTTTTTTTTCATCATCCAGTTATTATTAAGCATACCTCACAGTTTTTTGTTTCCTTCCTTTCTGAATTTCTCCCTCCTCCCACCTTCCTCCCTCAAGTAGGCTGGTGTTTCTCTAGACTAGAATCATGGTATTGGAAGAAACCTTAGAGATCATCTAGTTTAGTCCTCTCATTTTATAGTGGAGGAAATACCCTTTTTGTTTGTTAGATTTAGTTATTAATACTGTCCAAAGGAATTTAGGATAACAGAACTCTGCACATGCTTGCTTCTAGCAGATTGTTGTTCTTTAAGTTCCTCATATACAGTAATATTGACACAGCGGTAATTGTGACTGATGAAAATGCTCAAGGACTTCATTTTCAACTCTTTCTTTCCTCTGTTCCTTATTTCCACATATCTCTCAAGCTTTGTCTGTATGTTATATAATAATCTACAAGCAGCCCCAACTATGTTACCTACCTTCCTTAGGAATTATTGCTTGACCCTAAGTTTTTTTTTTTCTTTTTTCTTTTTTTTTTTTTTTTGGAGACGGGGTCTTGCCCTCTTTCCAGGCTGGAGTGCAGTGGCGCCATCTCGGCTTACTGCAATCTCCAACTCCCTGGTTCAAGTGATTCTCCTGTCTCAGCCTTCCAAGTAGCTAGGATTACAGGCACACGCCACCACACCCAGCTAATTTTTGTATTTTTAGTAGAGACAGGGTTTCACCATGTTGGCCAGCCTGTTCTCAAACTCATGAGCTCAAGTGATCCACCCATCTCGGCCTCCCAAAGTGCTGGGATTACAGGCATGAGCTACCGCGCCCGGCTCCTGGTCTGATTTTTGTGGCTGTGCGTCCTCGGTCTTTGACCATTCCATTTCTCTCTTTTTTTTTGTTTGAGACAGAGCCTTACTCTGCCACCCCAGGCTGGAGTGCAGTGGTGTGATCTCGGCTCACTGCAACCTCCGCCTCCCAGGGTCAAGCGATTCTCCTGTCTCAGCCTCACAAGTAGCTGGGACTACAGGTGTACACCACCACCCAGCTAATTGACCATTCCATTTCTTTAATTTTTTTTTTTTTTTGAGACAGAGTCTTGCTCTGTTGCCCAGGCTGGAGTACAGTGGTGTGATCTCACGTTTCCGCAACCTCTGCCTCCCGGGTTTAAGCCGTACTCCTGCCTCAGCCTCTCAAGTAGCTGGGACTACAGGTGCACACCACCACACCCGGCTAATTTTTGTATTTTTAGTAGAGACAGGGGTTCACCTTGTTGGCCAGGCTGGCTTGAACTCATGATCTCAAGTGATCCACCCGCCTCGGCCTTCCAAAGTGCTGGAATTACAGGCGTGAGCCACCGTGCCCAGCAACCATTCCATTTCAACTAGAAGTTTCTAAAGGAGAGAGCAGCTTTCGCTAACTCAATAAGATTGGTCAACTTTCTGTAACTGAAAAAGCTAAAATATTTGATCTTGGTCATTTGACAGTTCTGCATAAGTATAACTAGTGTTTCTCATTAGGACTCTGTCTTTTCCCTATAGTGTGGGAGATCAAGAATTGTTACAAATCACCCCTCAAGGAACCAGGGATGAAACCAGTTTGGATTCTGCAAAAAAGGGTAATGGCAAAGTTTCCCAATTTAACAGAGTGGGTAGATACAGTACTGTAATTAGATTATTCTGAAGACCATTTGGGACCTTTACAATCCACAAAATCTCTTGGCAGAGTTAGAGTATCATTCTTTGTCAAATGTCATGGTATGATCTGATAGATTTAAATGGTACTAGACTAATGTAGCTATAATAATAAGACTTTCTGTAACTGATTGTTGCCCTTTTGTTTTTTGTTTTTTGTTATTTGTTTTTTGTTTTTGAGATGGGGTCTCACTCTGTTGCCCAGGTTGGAGTGCAATGAAGCAATCTTGGCTCACTGCAACCTCCACCACACGGGCTCAAGCTATCCTCCCACCTCAGCCTCCTGAGTAGCTGGGACTACAGGCACACGTCACCACACCCGGCTAATTTTTTGTGGTTTTATAGAGACAGAGTTTCGCCATGTTTCCAAGGCTGGTCTCAAACTCCTGGACTCAAGCAGTCTGCCCACTTCAGCCTCCCAAAGTGCTGCAGTTACAGGCTTGAGCCACTGTGCCTGGCCTGCCCTTTACTTTTAATTGATGTATTTGTGTTTCATCTTTTGCCTACTGGTTTTTAAATATAGGGAATGGTAAGTCTGTAGATAGAACAGAGTATTAAGTAGACTTAATGGCCAGTGATCTTTAGAGTACATCAGAACTGGTTTTCTGATGGCCAGTCTGCTTTTAATTCACTCTTACACATTAGAGAAATAGGAGGTGTGGTTTCTGCATAGGGAAAATTCTGAAATTAAAAATTTAATGGATCCTAAGTGGAAATAACCTAAGTAAATAGGAATTAAATGAAAGAGTATGAGCTACATCTTCAGTATACTTGGTAGTTTATGAGGTTAGTTTCTCTAAATATAGCCAATTGGTTGATTTCCACCTCCAAGGTGTATGAAGTATGTATTTTTTTAATGACAATTCAGTTTTTGAGTACCTTGTTATTTTTGTGTATTTTCAGCTGCTTGTGAATTTTCTGAGAAGGATATAACAAATACTGAACATCATCAGTCCAGTAATAATGATTTGAACACCACTGAGAAACATGCAACTGAGAGGCATCCAGAAAAGTATCAGGGTAGTTCTGTTTCAAACTTGCATGTGGAGCCATGTGGCACAAATACTCATGCCAGCTCATTACAGCATGAGAACAGTTTATTACTCACTAAAGACAGAATGAATGTAGAAAAGGCTGAATTCTGTAATAAAAGCAAACAGCCTGGCTTGGCAAGGAGCCAACATAACAGATGGACTGGAAGTAAGGAAACATGTAATGATAGGCAGACTCCCAGCACAGAGAAAAAGGTAGATCTGAATGCTAATGCCCTGTATGAGAGAAAAGAATGGAATAAGCAAAAACTGCCATGCTCTGAGAATCCTAGAGACGCTGAAGATGTTCCTTGGATAACACTAAATAGCAGCATTCAGAAAGTTAATGAGTGGTTTTCCAGAAGTGATGAACTGTTAAGTTCTGATGACTCACATGATGGGGGGTCTGAATCAAATGCCAAAGTAGCTGATGTATTGGACGTTCTAAATGAGGTAGATGAATATTCTGGTTCTTCAGAGAAAATAGACTTACTGGCCAGTGATCCTCATGAGCCTTTAATATGTAAAAGTGAAAGAGTTCACTCCAGTTCAGTAGAGAGTAATATTAAAGACAAAATATTTGGGAAAACCTATCGGAGGAAGGCAAACCTTCCCAATTTAAGCCATGTAACTGAAAATCTAATTATAGGAGCACTTGTTACTGAGTCACAGATAATGCAAGAGCGTCCCCTCACAAATAAATTAAAGCGTAAAAGGAGAACTACATCAGGTCTTCATCCTGAGGATTTTATAAAGAAAGCAGATTTGGCAGTTCAAAAGACTCCTGAAATAATAAATCAGGGAACTAACCAAATGGAGCAGAATGGTCAAGTGATGAATATTACTAATAGTGCTCATGAGAATAAAACAAAAGGTGATTCTATTCAGAATGAGAAAAATCCTAACGCAATAGAATCACTGGAAGAAGAATCTGCTTTCAAAACTAAAGCTGAACCTATAAGCAGCAGTATAAACAATATGGAACTAGAATTAAATATCCACAATTCAAAAGCACCTAAAAAAAATAGGCTGAGGAGGAAGTCTTCTACCAGGCATATTCATGCGCTTGAACTAGTAGTCAGTAGAAATCTAAGCCCACCTAATTGTACTGAACTACAAATTGATAGTTGTTCTAGCAGTGAAGAGATAAAGAAAAAAAATTACAACCAAATGCCAGTCAGGCACAGCAGAAACCTACAACTCATGGAAGATAAAGAATCTGCAACTGGAGCCAAGAAGAGTAACAAGCCAAACGAACAGACAAGTAAAAGACATGCCAGTGATACTTTCCCAGAACTGAAGTTAACAAAGGTACCTGGTTCTTTTACTAACTGTTCAAATACTAGTGAACTTAAAGAATTTGTCAATCCTAGCCTTTCAAGAGAAGAAAAAGAAGAGAAACTAGAAACAGTTAAAGTGTCTAATAATGCCAAAGACCCCAAAGATCTCATGTTAAGTGGAGAAAGGGTTTTACAAACTGAAAGATCTGTAGAGAGTAGCAGTATTTCATTGGTACCTGATACCGATTATGGCACTCAGGAAAGTATCTCATTACTGGAAGTTAGCACTCTAGGGAAGGCAAAAACAGAACGAAATAAATGTATGAGTCAGTGTGCAGCATTTGAAAACCCCAAGGAACTAATTCATGGTTGTTCTGAAGATACTAGAAATGACACAGAAGGCTTTAAGTATCCATTGGGAAGTGAAGTTAACCACAGTCAGGAAACAAGCATAGAAATAGAAGAAAGTGAACTTGATACTCAGTATTTGCAGAATACATTCAAGGTTTCAAAGCGCCAGTCCTTTGCTCTGTTTTCAAATCCAGGAAATCCAGAAGAGGAATGTGCAACATTCTCTGCCCACTCTAGGTCCTTAAAGAAACAAAGTCCAAAAGTTACTTCTGAATGTGAACAAAAGGAAGAAAATCAAGGAAAGAAAGAGTCTAATATCAAGCCTGTACAGACAGTTAATATCACTGCAGGCTTTTCTGTGGTTTGTCAGAAAGATAAACCAGTTGATAATGCCAAATGTAGTATCAAAGGAGGCTCTAGGTTTTGTCTATCATCTCAGTTCAGAGGCAACGAAACTGGACTCATTACTCCAAATAAACATGGACTTTTACAAAACCCATACCATATACCACCACTTTTTCCTGTCAAGTCATTTGTTAAAACTAAATGTAACAAAAACCTGCTAGAGGAAAACTCTGAGGAACATTCAGTGTCACCTGAAAGAGCAGTGGGAAACGAGAACATCATTCCAAGTACAGTGAGCACAATTAGCCATAATAACATTAGAGAAAATGCTTTTAAAGAAGCCAGCTCGAGCAATATTAATGAAGTAGGTTCCAGTACTAATGAAGTGGGCTCCAGTATTAATGAAGTAGGTTCCAGTGATGAAAACATTCAAGCAGAACTAGGTAGAAACAGAGGGCCAAAATTGAATGCTGTGCTTAGATTAGGGCTTTTGCAACCTGAGGTCTGTAAACAAAGTCTTCCTATAAGTAATTGTAAGCATCCTGAAATAAAAAAGCAAGAACATGAAGAATTAGTTCAGACTGTTAATACAGACTTCTCTCCATGTCTGATTTCAGATAACCTAGAACAGCCTATGGGAAGTAGTCATGCGTCTGAGGTTTGTTCTGAGACTCCTGATGATCTGTTAGATGATGGTGAAATAAAGGAAGATACTAGTTTTGCTGCAAATGACATTAAGGAGAGTTCTGCTGTTTTTAGCAAAAGCATCCAGAGAGGAGAGCTCAGCAGGAGCCCTAGCCCTTTCACCCATACACATTTAGCTCAGGGTTACCAAAAAGAGGCCAAGAAATTAGAGTCCTCAGAAGAGAACTTATCTAGTGAGGATGAAGAGCTTCCCTGCTTCCAACACTTGTTATTTGGTAAAGTAAGCAATATACCTTCTCAGACTACTAGGCATAGCACTGTTGCTACCGAGTGTCTGTCTAAGAACACAGAGGAGAATTTATTATCATTGAAGAATAGCTTAACTGACTGTAGTAACCAGGTAATATTGGCAAAGGCATCCCAGGAACATCACCTTAGTGAGGAAACAAAATGTTCTGGTAGCTTGTTTTCTTCACAGTGCAGTGAACTGGAAGACTTGACTGCAAATACAAACACCCAGGATCCTTTCTTGATTGGTTCTTCCAAACGAATGAGGCATCAGTCTGAAAGCCAGGGAGTTGGTCTGAGTGACAAGGAATTGGTTTCAGATGATGAAGAAAGGGGAACGGGCTTGGAAGAAGATAATCAAGAAGAGCAAAGTGTGGATTCAAACTTAGGTATTGGAACCAGATTTTGTGTTTGCCCCAGTCTATTTATAGAAATGAGCTAAATGTTTATGCCTTTTGGGGAGCACATTTTACAAATTTCCAAGAATAGTTAAAGGAACTGCTTCTTAAACTTGAATCGCGTTCCTCCTAAGGTGCTTTTCATAGAAAAAAGTCCTTCACCCAGCTAGGATGTCATCTCTGACTGAATGAGCTTTAACATCCTAGTTATTGGTGGACTTACTTCTGGTTTCATTTTGTAAAAGGAAATCCCGGTGTCCCAAAGCAAGGAGTTTAATCATTTTGTGTGACATGAAAGTAAATCCAGTCCTGCCAATGAGAAGAAAAAGACACAGCAAGTTGCAGTGTTTATAGTCGGCTTTTACATCTGAACCTCTGTTTTGATTGTTACTTAAGGTGAAGCAGCATCCGGGTATGAGAGTGAAACAAGCGTCTCTGAAGACTGCTCAAGGCTCTCCTCTCAGAGCGAAATTTTAACCACTCAGGTAAAAAGCGTGTGTGTGTGTGGTGTCCTTTGCATTCAGTAGTCTGTATCCCACATTCTTAGGTTTGCTGACATCATCTCTTTGAATTAATGGCACAACAATTGTTTGTGGTTCATTGTCTCCTTAAATTAGACTGTAAGTACCTTGATGGAACTCGTACTACCTTTTATTTCACATGTGCGCGCGCGCACACACACACACACACACACACACACACACTGCCTAGCTCATTGTAGTATACTAAATACTGATTTTAATGAATAAGCTAAACCTTTGAAACCCATTTGCTAATCCCAGCACTTTGGGAGGCCAAGGTGGGTGGATCACCTCAGGTCAGAAGTTTGAGACCAGCCTGGCCAATATGGTGAAATCCCACATCTACTAAAAATACAAAAATTAGCTGGGCATGGTGGCCAATGCCTATAATCTCAGCTACTCTGGAGGCTGAGACAGGAGAATCACCTGAACCTGGGAGGCGGAGGTTGCAGTGAACCGGGATTGTACTACTGCATTCCAGCCTGGGTGACAGAGTGAGACTCTATCTCAAAAACAAACAAAAACACATCATCTCCCCTGTAACAAAAATATGACATTCTTATTGTATCAAGAGAGGTGAGAAAAAGAAGCCACGGCAGGATGATTCAAGGGGGTCTGCATAGCTCCTTTTTAAGAATATGCCTATTGCAGGTCAGAGAAGGTAAGCAAACTGCCTAAGGCCACACAGCCAGGTATAGAACTCTCACCAATATTATTGCCAGCAATTGCAATTTTGGTGTTTATTCTTGGTACCAAGTTGGAGACTATAGGATTCTCTTCCTAATAGAGACCATCTAGCCTTTCACTGTTTTGTGGATACTTCTGTTCTTTTTTTTTTCCCCCCTTTTAAAATCTAGTTATTTTTTCTTTTTGGTTTCTTTGATACAGGGTCTCTTACTCTGTCGCTCAGGCTGGAATGGAGTGGTGCAGTCATGGTTCTCTGTGGCTTTGACTTCTGGGCTCAAGCGATCCTCCTACCTCAGCTTCCCGAGTACCTGGTACCACAGGTGCTCACCAACACATCCAGCTAATTTTTTAATTTTTACGAGAGACAGTGTCACTATGTTGCCCAAGCTGTTCTCAAACTCCTGGGCTCAAGTGATCCTCCCACCTCAGCCTCCCAAAATGCTGGGATTACAAGCATGTGCAACCACGCCTGGCCTAATTTTTTTTTAATTGCTCATAAGTCATCTTTTCTTTGAAAAAGACAGATGGGAGGCTAAAGCATGAGAATCACCTGAACCCAGAAGGTGGAGGTTGCAGTGAGCTGAAATCATGCTGCTGCTCTCCAGCCTGGGCAATAAGAGTGAAACTCCATCTCAAAAAAAAGAAAGTACACAATTTTACTTTCTGGACCTAATGGTCAAGGCCAATAATTTGGTCACTTATGAAGTAAATAAAAGCTTTACCATATATATGACCATTTGGTAATGTGAATGTTTATGTACTAAAGGCAGAATAGTCTAGAAAAAACATTCTGTATCACAGCATCCAAAAATTAACATCGTCTTCATCAAAGAACCAGGCTCTGTCTCCTAATTTTTTTTCTTGAGATGGAGTTTTGCTCTGTCACCCTGGCTGTAGTACAGTGGCACAATCTTGGCTCACTGCAACCTTCGCCTCCCAGGTTCAGGTTCAAGTGATTCTCGTGCCTCAGCCTCCTAAGTAGCTGGAATTACAGGTGCCTGCCACCATGCCCAGCTCATTTTTTTGTATTTTTTTAGTAGAGAGAGGGTTTCACCATGTTGGCCAGGCTCATCCTGAACTCCTGACCTCAAATGATCGGCCAGCCGCAGCCTCCCAGAGTGCTGAGATTACAGGCATGAGCCACCAGGCCTGGCCTTCTAATTTTCATTTGGCACCAAAATTTTCCAAGTTCTCATGCAAAAATTCAGGCTCATCTCAGTTGATTTTTTTCATTTATTTATCTCCCACTAGATTGACAACTTCTAATAGTTAGACTGATTCTTTGTATTCCTAGCACAGGGTTCTATGAAGGATACACACAGCAGTTGCTGGCGGTAATATTGGTGAGAGTTCTATACTGGGCTTTGTGATCTTAGACAGTTTGCTTATGTTCTCTGACCTGCCATAGGCACGTTCTTAAAATGAAGCTGTTCAGATCCCCTGGAATCATCCTGCTGTGGCTTCTTTTTCCCACCTAAATGAAATACCCTTTTAGCTGCTAGTAAGTGAATGATGTTTTTTTGTGAACTTTCTGAAGTTAGATTAGATGAAGTTGAGAAAAGCCTGATATTCTTATAAAGTTATATATGTGTATCATGGAAAACTTAGAAAATACAAATAAACAAAAATCATCCATGGATGAACCTTGAAGACATTGTATTAACTGAAATAAACTGGACACCAAAAGACACATGTTATATGCTTCCACTTATATGATATACCTAGTATAGTTAAATTTGGTTACTCTGGGCACATTGCCTATAGATAAGCCTTGCTCCACAAGGAGCATTAAAAAAGAAAAAAAAGATAAATTCATAGGACAGAAGGTAGAATAGTGGTTACTAGAGACTTGGGGAGGGAGAAATGGGGAGTTACTGTTTGATGAGTACAGATTTCAGTTTGGGATGATGAAAAAGTTCTGGAGATGGATAGTGACAATGGTAATACAACAGTGTGAAAATACTTAATGCCACTGAACTGTACACTTACAGTGATTAAAATGGTAAGCTAGTTGCAATTTGTGTTATCCAGAAATGGTTACCAATTTATTGGTGTATATTCTTTTAGTATTCCTGTATATGCACAGGGGTGCTTTGTATATACTTTATCTTTAAAATATATCCAGGAGGCCTGGCACAGTGGCTCACACCTGTAATCCCAGCACTTTACGAGGCTGAGGCAGGAAGATTGCCTGAGCCCCAGAGGTCAAGGCCACAGTAAGTTGTGATCATGCCACTGCACTCCGTTCTGGGCAACCCCTGTCTGGAAAAAAACATTAGTGAGGCTTAGTGGTGCACACCCGTAGTCTCAGCTACTTGAGAGGCTCGGGTAGGATTGCTTGATCCCAGCAAGTTGAGGCTGTGATGAGCCATGATGGTGCCATTGTACTCCAGCCTGAGTGATACGGTGAGACCCTGTCTCAAAAAAAAGAAATCCAGATAATTCTGTACGTAATCTAGCTTTTACTGGATGATTAAAATCCTTTATTTTTATTTTTTATTTATTTGGTTTTTTTCTGAGATGTAGTTTCGCTCTTGTTGCCCAGGCTGAAGTGCAATGGCACGACCTCGGCTCACTGCAACCTCTGCCTCCCAGGTTCAACCGATTCTCCTGCCTCAGCCTCCCGAGTAGCTGGGATTACAGGCATGTGCCACCATGCCCAGCTAATTTTGTATTTTTAGTAGAGACAGGGTTTCTCCATTTTGGTCAAGCTGGTCTCAAACTCCTGACCTCAAGTGATCCACCCACCTCAGCCTCCCAAAGTGCTGGGATTACAGGCATGAGCCACTGTACCTGGCCTGGGTTGTTAAAATTCTTAAATGACTTCATTTTTAATTACTATATGAGATTCTATCTTTCCAGTGTATCATGATTTATTTGACCTATTGCTGAATGTTGAAGGTTTCAGGGTAAGAGGCACAGTTTGCTATTATGTACTTTACTGTAGTAGCAGCCTGGTAGCTAAATATTTGCCTACATCTCTGATTATTTCCTTAGTATAAATTCCTAGGACTAGGATTTTCGTGTTTGATACATGTTGCTAAATTGTTCTTTAGAAAGATTAAACCAGTTTGTGATCTTCCAGCCCCTGTGGTAAATGATAGTTCCCATTTTCCTGTACCTTGCCAACATTGGGTGATACCCAGTTTTAAAATCTTCTAAATCTTGCATTGCTATGAGAACTTCAATTAGAGAGGGCTTATCTTCTACTGCCCATTCTCTGTACAGAGCAAATCCCTCTAGACCTGAAGCCCCTTGGAGTTGTCAAGAAACCTTTGAGATGACTCCCCACTCTGTATCTGAGCTGTCACTAGTATTCTCCACTTCTTCAGGATTGCCATGGCAACTAAATTGATGAAAAGATTTAGGAGGCCTTTTCTCTGTTTGCAATTACTATGATCCTTTTTGGATGTGTGTTTGGGACTCTGTCAATATACCCATTGTCTAATTCTGTCCATTGTGTTTTAAAGTTTAAGACTGCAATTTCTAAGGCCGGGCGTGGTGGCTCAAGCCTGTAATCCCAGCACTTTGGGAGGCCGAGATGGGCGGATCACGAGGTCAGGAGATCGAGACCATCCTGGCTAACACAGTGAAACCCCATCTCTACTAAAAAATACAAAAAATTAGCCTGGTGAGGTGGCGGGCGCCTGTAGTCCCAGCTACTCAGGAGGCTGAGGCAGGAGAATGGCGTAAACCCGGGAGGCGGAGCTTGCAGTGAGCTGAGATCTAGCCACTGCACTCCAGCCTGGGCGACAGAGCAAGACTCCATCTCAAAAAAAAAAAAAAAAAAAAAAAAAGATTGCAATTTCTGATTACATCTGCCTTAGCCATACTGTATTATGTTTGACATTCAATATACAATGTCCTTGTTTTTCTGTATTTCTTTTTTTTTTTTTTTTTTTTTTTTGAGACGGAGTCTCGCTCTGTCGCCCAGGCTGGAGTGCAGTGGCGCGATCTCGGCTCACTGCAAGCTCCGCCTCCCGGGTTCACGCCATTCTCCTGCCTCAGCCTCCCGAGTAGCTGGGACTACAGGCGCCCACAACCGCGCCCGGCTAATTTTTTGTATTTTTAGTAGAGACGGGATTTCACCGTGGTCTCGATCTCCTGACCTTGTGATCCGCCCGCCTCAGCCTCCCAAAGTGCTGGGATTACAGGCGTGAGCCACCGCGCCCGGCCTGTTTTTCTGTATTTCTGATCTTATTCCCAGAGATTTGTCTATTTGTTCAGGATTCATTTTGCAAAGTGTTTTACTAAGCATCTACCCAAAACAGCTGAAGTCAGATTTCAGGCTATCTTACATCTAAAGTAGCACAGGCAGGAAAAACTGTTGAAGTGGAATTTTTTTCCCTGTTTGTACTGAACCGAGAAAAAGCATATAGATGATAGAGAATTCCTCATTTGGTGTCATTGGTATCTGGGTATTTGTTTGTTTTTACAGAAGACTGATTAACTATACTTATTCATTAATTTATCTTCTCATTAATAAACACTTGCTGAGTGCTTACTGTCCGCTAGGCATTAGGGAGACAAAAATGATTAAGCCAAGATTCCTTCTATCAAGGTCATGTGTTCCATTTGGGTATACTAATGCATTAGCAATGTAAATCAAGTAGTGAGAGATCATCTGTTCCTGATAGGAGATGGATTATTGGTGGGGACTTCTGTGTGTGTGCGTGTGTGTGTGTGTGATAAAGTAAATATAGGAAATGTTAGTTATAGATTCTACATAGTAGATATGGAAACATTCATTGCAAAGTTGCTTCAAGTTTTCTGTATATTTGAAAATATTCACAACATGTCAACAAAACTAGCATGATAAAGCCTCTATTTGTGCTAAGACTTCAGCTTGTATTTGGATTAGGCTTATTATGTAGTAGTAGGAACAGTAGAAATAATTTTTTTTTTTTTTTGAGACGGAGTCTCGCTCTGTCGCCCAGGCTGGAGTGCAGTGGCCAGATCTCGGCTCACTGCAAGCTCCGCCTGCCGAGTTTACGCCATTCTCCTGCCTCAGCCTCCCGAGTAGCTGGGACTACAGGCGCCCACCACCTCGCCCGGCTAGTTTTTTATATTTTTTAGTAGAGACGGGGTTTCACCGGGTTAGCCAGGTTGGTCTCGATTTCCTGACCTCGTGATCCACCCGTCTCGGCCTCCCAAAGTGCTGGGATTACAGGCTTGAGCCACCGCGCCCGGCCAGAAATAATTTTAACTCATTAAATACACATGTTTTATGGGAAGGTTATATATATATTTATATGTAATGAATGTGAACAAACGGGTCTGCTTCCCTCCAGACCAGTTCCGGCTGCTGTGCTGCACATTTCAGGAGTCTTACTAGAATTAGCCACATTCTGCCCACTTGCCCTTCTCGTATTTCACGACTCCTCCTGGTGGGGACTTAAGGAGACATTCAAGGTAGGCCTTGAAAGATGAGAAGAATTTTTTCAAGTGGAAAAAGAGGAGTGGCAGCAAGTAAGGTAAAGGTAGAGAGTCGTGGAATTCCCAGGAAATATAAAGTTGTCCTGTGTTATGGGAAAACAACTTGTGTGAGGCGTGTTGGGAGAAATGAGAGATAATTACCAGGGTGTAAAGGGCCTTTTGAATGCTATGTTTAGGAATTTGGACTTTATCCTAATGGCAATAATGACTAACAATTATATAGTGTTCAAAAAGTATAACTCAGCCGTGGTATATCCCTAAGGTTTTTTTGTTTGTTTTGTTTTGTTTTTGTTTGTTTGTTTGTTTTTGTTTTTGTTTTTTGAGACAGAGTCTTGCTCTGTTGCCCAGGCTGGAGTGCTGTGGTGCGATCTTGGCTCACTGCAACCTCCACCACCCGGGTTCAAGCGATTCTCCTACTTCAGCTGGGGTTTCACTGTGATGGCCAGGCTGGAGCACTAAGGGTCTTTATGGAAGAAAAAGACATGATAAACAAGGCTTTTAGGGAACTTCTACAGTAATGTAGCAGTGTTAAAAGTATAGATCAGAGCAGCATAGTAGAAACAGAAGACTAGAGCTAATTGAAGGAGCACTTCAGAATTAGAATCAAGAAGTCTTAGAAACCTATTGGTTTTATTCTCCCTAATGTATTTGACCACTTGCCTGCTGGGGAATTTGTCTAAGTTATAAAAAATAATTCCTTTGGGAAACCCAAAGGAAAGTTATCTGTTAATAATTACCCCACTACTATTTTTTCTGATTTATGTGATGGCCACATAGAGGTTAGATGTGATGGTTGTGACAGCAGTGACTAATATAGCCTATGAAGCATTTTGGTCAGATATCTATGTGCTTTCATTCCAGGTTTACTGAGGCAGACCTTGGCTAGGATTTGATCAGTGATGTAACTACTCATGAGTACCACGTGGTGGCAATGGCGTTGCTGCAGACCTTGGCAGCAAAGCAGTGTTAGAGTAGCAGTGGAAACCTTTGTGAAGCTAGGAATACATTTTCTGGTCATAAAAACCTCCTGAAAATTATGAACTCAGCACAGCAGGAGAAAGAAGATGGCTTGGTTTTAGTAAAGGGCAAAGTCATTTTTAAGGATCGGAAGAAGAAGAAATGGAGAGTGAAACAGTGTGTTCCTGCCCACACTCCCACACTGGACTTTTTGGCAACCATTGATGTTCCTTCTCAAAGTGATTTTTAAACATGTATATTTTGAAGCCAGTCATGGTGGCTCATGCCTGTAATCCCAGCACTTTGGGAGGCCAAGGCAGGCCGTTCACCTGAGGTCAGGAGTTCAAGACCAGCCTGGCCAACATGGTGAAACCCCGTCTCTACTAAAAATACAAAAATTAGGCTGGGCACAGTGGCTCACGCCTGTAATCCCAGCACTTTGGGAGGCTGAGGCAGGCGGATCACGAGGTCAGGAGATGGAGACCATCCTGGCTAACACAGTGAAACCCCATCTCTACTAAAAATGTGGCAGGCGCCTGTAGTCCCAGCTACTCGGGAGGCTGAAGCAGAAGAATGGCTTGAACCTGGGAGGTGGAGCTTGCAGTGAGCCTAGATTACGCCACTGCACTCCAGCCTGGGCAACAAAGTGAGACTCTGTCTCAGAAAAAAAAATTGGTTGGGCATGGTAACAGGTGCCTATAATGCCAGTTACTTGGGAGGCTGAGGCAGGCAGAATTGCTTGAACCTGGTAGGCAGAGGTTGCAGTGAGCTGAGATTGTGCCATTGCACTCTAGCCTGGGCGACAGAGTGAAACTCCATCTCAAAAATAAATAAATAAAATAAAATAAATTTTTAAAAAGGATATTTTGGAAAACTCCTTACATACCGAAATTCTTTTTTTATCAAATATTTGGACTTAGCACATTCTTCTTTGAAATGGACCAATAAACAACAGGAGCCCATAAGCAAGAAGAACCCATTATTTTAACAGTAACTATCCTTACAGGCTTTCTTAGGGCTCTTTCTGTTGAATCCTTCCCTCTCACAGGTCCTTGCTAATGATATCTAGGTGGACACATTCTAGATAAGATGTCCCTGTCTAGAATGGCAGCACCATGAGGACTGTATCCTCAATACTAGGACAGTGCCTGGTGCTTAATAGATAGTAAATAGTTGTCTAATTAACTGAGCAAACAGATAGACTCATAAATTAGCTTTCTGCTTTTTCTGTTAGAAACTAAAGGTTCAGGTCAGGCACAATGGCTCATGTCTGTAATCCCAGCACTTTGGGAGGCCAAGGCGGACGCATCACTTGAGGTCGGGGGTTCAAGACCAGCCTGGCCAACATAGTAAAACCCTGTCTCTCCTAAAATTACCAAAATTAGCCGGGCATCATGGCAAGCACCTGTAATCCCAGCTACTGGAGAGACTGAGGTGGGAGAATCGCCTGAACCTGGAGGAAGAGGTTGCAGTGAGCTGAGATGGTGCCAGCCTGGGTGACAGAGGGAGACTTAAAAAAGAAAAAAAGAAAAGAAACTAAAGGTTCAGAGCATCCCAGAAAAGGAAGAGTCCTCACAAGCCAGTAATCTAGGCAGGATTACTGATAGTATTTTTCTGTTTGTTGTATTTTTATAAAATGCCATAGATAGGGGGCTTTTTTGACATTACATTAGTCTAAAAATCACACATTTTTAGATGAACTAACCTAAATGTCTGATGAATCTCACAACACCAAGTCTTTGAAATGTGCCTGTATAAATAAAATATTAATAGATTCATGCTAATATTAAATATCGATAATGTTTAAATACCTTAATTATTTTTTCACTCCCTAGCTTTAAAAGAAAATAACCAACCTCAAAAGGACATCACAATAAATCAAGTCTATTTGGGGGAGTTGGAGGATTTTTTCCCTCACTAGCATCATTTGGAAATAATTTCATGGGCATTAATTGCATGAATGTGGTTAGATTAAAAGGTGTTCAGCCAGAACTTATAGTTCCATACTAGGTGATTTCAATTCCTGTGCTAAAACTAATTTGTATGACATATTTTCATTTAATGGAAAACTTCTCAAAGTATTTCATTTTCTTGGTACCATTTATCGTTTTTGCAGCAGAGGGATACCATGCAAGATAACCTAATAAAGCTCCAGCAGGAAATGGCTGAACTAGAAGCTGTGTTAGAACAGCACGGAAGCCAGCCTTCTAACAGCTACCCTTCCATCATAACTGACTCTTCTGCCCTTGAGGACCTGCGAAATCCAGAACAAAGCACATCAGAAAAAGGTGTGTAATGTTGGCCAAACACTGATATCTTAAGCAAAATTCTTTCCTTCCCCTTTATCTCCTTCTGAAAAATAAGGACTTAGCTCCAACATTTTATGATCCTTGCTCAGCACATGGATAATTGTGGAACCTTGGTTCTTGTCCCTGCTTACAACTAACATACCAGTCAGAGGGACTCAGGGCAGTCATTCGTGTTGTCATCTGAGTACCTACAACAAGTAGATGCTATGGGGAGCCCATGGAATATAGATGGTATACAATATAGCTCTTGCTCTATTGGAAGCTAAGTGGAGTAGGAGAAATTGGTGACAGGCAACCCCATAATTTCAGAAAGCTATGAAAAAATACTCAGACATATTCCTTATTACACTGGTGTCACATCACAAAGACCTATTTAATATGCTTCTGATTTATAGGAAGAGACATCCTATACTTCAGGAACTGCACTTTGATCCACAGAAAGCCTAGTGATGTAGAGCTCCTGTTAGTTCAGAAGGAAAGAACACAGAAAGCCTAATTTTATGCAGCAGAGTCAAGTGCTTTATAGCAATGTTACAGTTACCAGAAAAAATCCGGATGGACCTCTGAGAGGATGCCATTGGAGTAACCAGGCAGGTGCAGTTGATCAGAGCTAACTTCCTAGAAGAAGCGAGCACTGAGCTGAGGAATAATAGCATAAATGAAGGAAAGTGAGATGGAAATTTGAGTTTTTAATTGGAAAGACAACACATCAGGCAGGTTTTTAAACAGGGGCAAACACTAGACACTTAGTAGAGGCTGGGCATGGGGTCCCCACCAGGATGCTGCTTAGAAACATGCAGGGGTGGTGAGTGCTCTCAAAGTACACTTCATTCCTATCTCAGTGATTCTTATCTGAGTGTTAAAGTTCCTTCTTCAGCACCCTGTTCCACAGTCCAACTGGGGACTTTAAGGCCTTTCTTTGAGTCTTTCTAGGAACTCAAGTCTGTTACTTACACAGAACAGTGGCCTTGGTCCTCAGTTGTGCCTTGCAGTATTTTTGTATTCAGGAACAAACAGTAGCTCTTGGATAAAGAAGCTAGCTAGAAACTCTGTTGCTATGGCAGTGCTTCAAAATGTATTTCCTTAAATGCTTTCATTGTAATTATCTTCATTTAGTTCATCTCTCAGATAATGAGAGTTCAGAGTCCCTTCCCTAGTATAATACTCTTCTTTGGGGTGCTTTCACCATCTTCAGTCTAAACACAGACTAGACTTTCAATTGTAATGTGTAAGACATAAAATGTTATTATTGTGTGACTTTGAATATCTGTGTAAATCTACTATCTCCTCTTTGGTGTATATGTGTGTTTATTTTTTTCTGCAGATCTGTAACTGAAATGCTTCATTTCTGAATCATTTTGGATATCACAGCTTAATACCAGCATAAGTTTTGAGCCTTTTCCTCCCTAAATCTGGTTGAGTCTAACTGAAACTCAAATGAACTTTTTAAAAATAATTTTTTTCTTTAACTTTTTTTTTAAGTAGAGACAGGGACGCACTGTTAACTAGGCTGGTCTTGAACTCCTGATTTTGAGCAATCCTCCCACACCTCAGCCTCACCTTTTTAGAGAGGGTCTTGCTCTGTTGCCCAAGCTGGAGGGCAGTGGTATAGTCACAGCTCACTGCAGCCTCTCAAACTCCTCAAGAGATCCTCCTGCCTTAGCCTCCCAAGTAGCTGGGACTATAGGCATCCACCACCATATCCAGGTAATTTTTTTTTTTTTAATTTTTTGTAGAGACAAGATCTCCCTATGTTGCCCAAGTAGGTCTCAAACTCCTGAACTCAGGCAGTCTTCTCATCTCAGCCTCCCAAAGTGCTGGGGTTACAGGTATGAGCCATGGCACCTGGCCAGAACTTCTATGACGGACACGGTGGCTCACGCCTGTAATCCCAGCACTTTGGGAGGCCGAGGCGGGTGGATCACCTGAGGTCGGGAGTTCGAGACCAACCTGATCAACACAGAGAAACTGCGTGTCTACTAAAAATACAAAAAATTAGCCAGGTGTGGTGGCACATGCCTGTAATCCCAGCTACTCGGGAGCCATGGTGCCCGGCCTAGTTTATTATTTCTTAATATCTGTTGTCTTCCAGTGTCTTCCTTAATTCTTCACAATACCCTGTATAATGCTTAGCACACAGTGGGCAGTCAGTAAGTTTATTAAATGTTTGGTGTGGCCCATACTTCCTACCCACGAAGAATGTAACATGTTAAGACATCTAGATGAGGGAATGATTTAAGAGGAACTACAATACTATTCTGAAACTTGGGCTCTGGATCTCTGCATTTGTACTTTCCTAAACCAGCCAGCAAGTAGATCATCATGTCACAAGGCCTAGATTGGGCTTGCTGTTCAGAGAATGAAATAAGAATTAAGGAAGAAAAAAAGGAGAAAGGTTTTGCTCTGTTTTTCAGGTTCTACTGAGTTATTGACGTCTGACTTAACTTGTCTTATCTTCTTCATAGCATGTAGTAACAAGATGAATTTATACGCTAAATGTTGCGGTGATGGAATGACTTTTTTTTTTTTAAACACCTATTATACCATGAATTCATAGGGAATAGGTTCCAGCTGCTCAGGCTCCTTCCCACTGGTTCTCACAAAGTATGCTTCTCTGGGTGGAGCAGGCTGGCGCTTCAGTTGAACCCACATACCTTTCTCTTTGGCTTCTTTCTTTTTCTGATCATTTTCCTTCACGCGTTTCAGGAAGCTATCTTGGCTCTTAGAGTGCTTAATATTCTCAATATGCACATTAATTCTCTTGGCAAGAATCTTGCCCTTAACTTGTTTGTTTACAGTGCCAACAGCATGCTAGGTCACATTGTAGACTCTTCCAGTTTTGCCATGGTAACACTTGTGGGGCATTCCTTTTTGAACAGTACCCATTCCCTTGATGTCTACAATATCACCTTTCTTATAGATTCACATATACGTGGCCAAAGGAACAATTCCATGTTTTCTAAAAGGCCTAGAGAACATATATCGGGTGCCTCTCCTCTTTCCCTTTGTGTTCGTCATTTTGGTGAATTACTGGAAGATTGCGGTTCTGGCTGAAAGCAGGAATGACTTTTTAATAGCTGTGTTTGTATCTGAGCCTTCTCTCTGCATTTCACTTTTTTTGTTGTTGTTGTTTTTTGTGTATTTTGTGTTTTTTTTTTGAGACTAAGTTTCGCTCTTGTTGCCCAGGCTGGAATGCAGTGGCGCGATTTCGGCTCACTACAATGTCCGCCTCAGCCTCCCGAGTAGCTGGGATTACAGGCGCCTGCCACCACGCCCAGCTAATTTTTGTATTTTTAGTAGAGACAGGGTTTCACCATGTTGGCCAGGCTGGTCTCAAACTCCTGACCTCAGGTGATCTGCCCACCTCGACCTCCCAAAGTGCTGGGATTATAGGCGTGAGCCACCTCACCCGGCCACTTTTTTTTTTTTTTTTTTAACTCTTTCCAGTGGTTAATTCTGTTTGATATGATTCCTTGGAACTTGCACATTACCCTTTATCAATTATCACCCTGTATTGGGGGTGGGGAGGATGATACCTCTCTTCATAGTTAGATCCTGCTTACTTTCAACAGAGTTCTAAATGACCCTGGAAACTCACAGGTCCAGAAAAGACAAGCATAAAGGAAACTATAAATAATGCATTTGAAGACTAACTCAGGAAATCAATGATTATTCCCCCCCTAGGCTACCCAGTGTCTTAAAAACCAGTTTAATTAATATAATCTTTTGTTTCAATTTTCTACCTATATTTATGACTTTTAGCTTTTCTAATAAAAGCTCAAAATCAGTGACTTTTTAATGAATAGAAGACATTTGCAATTTTTAACTATTTGTTTTTACTTATGAAATATTTCCACCTTGGCCGGGCATGGTATCTCACGCCTGTAATCCCAGCACTGTGAGATGCCAAGGCAGGAGGATCACTTGAGCTTAAGAATTTGAGACCAGGCTGGGTGTGGTGGCTTATGCCTATAATCCCAGCACTTTGGGAGGCCAATTTTGGCGGTTTACCTGAGGTCAGGAGTTCAAGACCAGCCTGGCCAACATGGTAAAACCCCATCTCTACAAAAAATACAAAAACTAGCCAGGGGGTGGTGGCAGGCACCTATAATCCCATCTTCTTGGGAGGCTAAGGCAGGAGAATCACTTGAACCTGGAGGCAGAAGTTGCAATGAACTGAGATCACACCACTGTATTCCAGCCTAGGCAACAGAGCAAGACTCCATCTCAAAAACAAAGAGTTTGAGACCAGCCTGGTCAATACAGCAAGACACCCATCTCTTTAAAAAATTAAATAACGGTCGGGCACAGTGGTTCACGCCTGTAATCCCAGTACTTTGGGAGGCTAAAGCAGGCGGATCACCTGAGGTCAGGAGTTCGAGACCAGCCTAACCAACATGGAGAAACCCCATCTCTACTAAAAATATAAAATTAGTTGGGCATGGTGGCTCATGCCTGTAATCCCAGCTACTTGGGAGGCTGAGGCAGGAGAATAGCTTGAACCCAGGAGGCAGAGAGGTTGCAGTGAGCCAAGATCACGCCATTGCACTGCAGCCTGGGCAACAAGAGCGAAACTCCATCTCAAAAAATAAATAAATAAATAAAGGCTGGGCGTGGTGGCTCACACCTGTAATCCCAGCACTTTGGAAGGCCGAGGCGGGCAGATCATGAGGTCAAGAGATTGAGACCATCCTGGCTAACATGGTGAAACCCTGTCTCTACTAAAAATACAAAAAAAAAAAAATTAGCTGGGCATGGTGGCGGGCGCCTGTAGTCCCATCTACTACTCAGGAGACTGACCCAGGAGAATGGCGTGAACCTGGGAGGCGGAGCTTGCAGTAAGCTGAGATTGTACCGCTGCACTCCAGCCTGGGCTACAGAGGGAGACTCTGTCTCAAAAATAAATAAATGAATGAATGAATAAATAAATAAATACTTTTGCCTTTAAGCCATTTCCTAGAAGGCAGTGGCACAAAGTGATACATTTGGAGGAATTAATATATTACAAAATGAATTAGGCCGGGCACAGTGGTACATGTCTAACCCCTGCACTTTGGGAGGCCAAGGCGGGTGGATCACTTGAGGTCAGGAGTTCGAGACTAGCCTGACCAACATAGTGAAACCCCATCTCTACTAAAAATACCAAAAAAACTAACTGGGCATGGTGGCGGGTACCTGTAGTCTCAGCTACTAGGGAGGCTGAGGCAGGAGAATTGCATGAACCCAGGAGGCGGAGGTTGCAGTGAGCCAAGATTGCACCATTGCACTCCAGCTTGGGTGACAGAGTGAGACTCCGTCTCAAAAAAAAAAAAAAAAAAAAAATGAACTAACCTGCCAGAACTTTGCCTTCAGTATGTTTTGTGTTTTTTCCCTTCTGTGGCATTTCATCATTAGTTCCATGTATTATTTAAGATTTCTTATTGGCCGGGCACGGTGGCTCAAGCCTGTAATCCCAGCACTTTGGGAGGCCGAGACGGGCGGATCACGAGGTCAGGAGATCGAGACCATCCTGGCTAACACAGTGAAACCCCGTCTCTACTAAAAATACAAAAAAAAATAAGCCGGGTGAGGTGGCGGGCGCCTGTAGTCCCAGCTGCTCGGGAGGCTGAGGCAGGAGAATTGCGCGAACCCGGGAGGCGGAGCTTGCAGTGAGCGGAGATCTGGCCACTGCACTCCAGCCTGGGCGACAGAGCCAGACTCCGTCTCAAAAAAAAAAAAAAAAAAAAAGAAAAAGATTTCTTATTAACCAGCACCTTGGGGTTTTTTTTGTGTATGTGTTGGTTTAGGGGGTTTATTTGTTTTTTTTTTTTCTTTTTTTTTTCAGTAATTGAAAATGTGAAGCAAAATGTCACCTGTTTTTTCTTTCTTGTCTGACACACATGTCTTGTTTACCCCCCACATGCAGAAGCTGAAACCCCCATTTCACATAGTCTTTAATGTGGAGGCAGTGGGGATGGAGAAAAATGTATTTTGTGCTTTCCAGTACTCTTTCTTTCCTATTGTCTGAGAGGAATTTGGGCATAATTTATTTGCTGCAGAGATAAAAAATTGTTATATATATATTTTTATCATTCAGGGCCAAGGAATATAAATTTTTTTTCAGCCTTGTCTCAGCTGGGTGTCTTTATTTACCCTGTCTTAAAGTGTTCCTTTTATTACCATTATTATTTTTTAATCATTGAATTCCATCTAGTGCTAGCATCTGGCTGTTGCGTTACTTGTTTATAAAATTCTGCCTGATATACTTGTTTAAAAACCAATTTGTGTATCATAGATTGATGCTTTTGAAAAAAGTCAATATTCTAACCTGAATTATCACTATCAGAACAAAACAATAAAGTAGATTTGTTTTCTCATTCCATTTAAAGCAGTATTAACTTCACAGAAAAGTAGTGAGTATCCTATAAACCAGAATCCAGAAGGCCTTTCTGCTGACAAGTTCGAGGTATCTGCAGATAGTTCTACCAGTAAAAATAAAGAACCAGGAGTGGAAAGGTAAGAAACATCAGTGTAAAGATGCTGTGGTATCTGACATCTTTATTTATATTGAACTCTAATTGTTAATTTTTTTCACCATACTTTCTCCAGTTTTTTGTATACAGACATTTATAAACTTTTATTGCTCTAGGATACTTCTTTTTTTTTTTTTTTTTTTTTTGAGACGGAGTCTCGCTCTGTCGCCCCTGCTGGAGCGCAGTGGCCGGATCTCAGCTCACTGCAAGCTCCGCCTTCCGGGTTTTACGCCATTCTTCTGCCTCAGCCTCCCGAGTAGCTGGGACTACAGGCGCCTGCCACCTCCTCCGGCTGGTTTTTGTTATTATTTAGTAGAGACAGGGTTTCACCGGGTTAGCCAGGATGGTCTCGATCTCCTGACCTTGTGATCCACCCGTCTCAGCCTCCCAAAGTGCTGGGATTACAGGCTTGAGCCACCGCGCCCGGCCAGGAGACTTTTTTTGTTTAATTGTATATAGGCTTTTTGAACCTATAACATAAACTACAACATGAGAAATGTGCGGTTAGATAGATATGTCCCTTCTAAAGGTCAGAAAAAAATATAATGGAGCTAAAACCTGAACAAGCTTGGAAGCTAATGGTAGACTTCTTCAAGGCAGCCCTTGCCCTAATTAAAATTCTTGTCTTTCTAGAAAAAGTCTAGCTCTTGATTTACCACAGATAATAATAGTAATTATTATTATTATTATTTAACACAGGGTCTCCCTCTGTCACCTAGATTGCAGTGGCGCAATCATGGCTCACTGCATCCTCTGTTTTTCAGGCTCACGCAATCCTCCCACCTTAGCCTCCTAAGTAGCTGGGTCCACAAGCATGCACCACCACGCCCATTAAGTTTTTGTATTTTTGGTAGAGAGGGAGTTTTACCTTGTTGCCCAGGCTGGTCTCAAATTCCTGGACTCAAGTGGTCCACCCACCTTGCCCTCCCAAAGCCAGAAAACATTTAGAATATCTTTTAGAGATGTGTATTTACACCACTATTAATACAGGACTATATAGCAGTCCGGTACTGGACTATGTAGTCCAGTACCATTCTTTTCCTTACTGGAGGGCCAGGTATGGTGGCAGGTGCCTATAATCCCAGCTATACAGGAGGCTGAGGCAGGAGAATCGCTTGAACCTGGGAGGCAGAGGTTGCAGTGAGCCGAGACCGTGCCATTGCACTCCAGCCTGGGCGACAGAACAAGACTCCATCTCAAAAAAAAAAAAAAAAAAAAAAAGAGCAGTAATTCAGTTCGCACTCATCTTCAGTCCAGGGGGCCTAGCCTTAGTATTTGACCCATAGTAAGCACCCAATAATTGTTTAAATTAATTAACCTCTGAGGCCCTTTAAATCTATTGATAAGTATCTTATTTTGCAAAATCCTAAGCACTTGGAAGACTAGAGGAACTATTTACTGGGTGTGTATGCTTTTCTAACAATATTTTATAGCTGGCTTTTGTTTTTAGAATGAATTTGGACATTGAAAAGGCAGGCAATAGTGGCTGGGCACAGTGGCTCACGCCTGTAATCCCAGCACTTTGGGAGGCCAAGTCTGTTGGATCACAAGGTCAGGAGATCGAGACCATCCTGACCAACATGGTGAAACCCCACCTGTACTAAAAATACAAAAATTAGCTGGACGTGGTGGCATGTCCCTATAGTCCCAGCTACTTGGGAGGCTAAGGCAGGAGAATCACTTGAACCCGAGAGGCGAGAGGCAAGGTTGCAGTGAGCCGAGATCGAGCCACTGCACTCCAGCCTGGGTGACAGAGCTTGAGACTCCATCTCAAAAAAAAAAAAAAAAAAAGGAAAAGGCAGGCAATAGGGATGATTCTGTAATTCTGCTAAAACTGAGTAGAAATAATGAGTGTAGAGATGTTGACATTGATCAACATTCTATCTTCATAAGAGATCTGATTCTAACATATCCATTTGGACTCAAGTAGAATATTGTGTATAGAGTGAGTGGCAGTGAGTAATTTGGTAAAAATTTGCTGACCTACTTGCTTGCCTGCTTTTTCTTTTTTCTTTTCTTTTTCTTTCTTTCTTTTCCTTCCTTCCTTCCTTTCTTTTTCTTTCTCTCTCTTCCTTTTTTTCTTTCTCTTCCGTTCTTTCTCTTCCTTTCTTTCTTTCTCTTCCTTTCTTTCTTTCTCTTTCTTTCTTCCTTTCTTCCTTTCTTTCTTGACAGAGTCTTGCTCTGTCACCCAGGCTGGAGTGCAGTGGTGCAATCTTGGGATCTCAGCTCACTGCAACCTCTGCCTCCCAGGTTCAAGCAGTTTTCCTACCTCAGCCTCCTGAGTAGCTGAGAATACGGGCGACAGCCACCACACCCAGCTACTGACCTGCTTTTAACAGCTAGGAGATACAGTGCCTCAGACCAACCCAACCCCTCGGGGGAGATGTTATATGTCAACCCTGACATATTGGCGGGCAACATGAATCCAGACTTCTAGGCTGTCTGTCACGTGGGCTCTTTTTTGCTAGTCATTTTTGATCTCTCTGACATGAGCTGTTTCATTTATGCTTTGGCTACCCAGGAAGTATGATTTGTCTTTTCACAATTGGTGGCGATGGTTTTCTCCTTCCATTTATCTTTCTAGGTCATCCCCTTCTAAATGCCAGTCATTAGAGGATAGGTGGTATGTGCACAGTAGCTCTGGGAGTCTTCAGAATGGAAATTACCCATCTCAAGAGGAGCTCATTAAGGTTGTTGATGTGGAGACACAACAACTGGAAAAGTCTGGGCCACACGATTTGATGGAACCATCTTACTTGCCAAGGCAAGATCTAGGTAATATTTCATCTGCTCTAATGGAACAAACACTTTGATTTTACTCTGAATCCTGCATAAAGATATTCTGGTTAACCAACTTTTAGATGTACTAGTCTATCATGGACACTTTTGTTATACTTAAGCCCATTTTAGAAAAATAGCTCAAGTGTTAAGGTTTACTTGAAAATTGTTGAAACTGTTAATCCATCTATATTTTAATTAATGGTTTAACTAATGATTTTGAGGATGAGGGAATCTTGGTGTACTCTAAATATATTATTTCAGGCCAGGCATAGTGGCTCATGCCTGTAATCCCAGTACTCTAGGAGGCCGAGGCAGGTGGATCAACTGAAGTCAGTTAGAGACCAGCCTGGCCAACATGGTGAAACCCTGTTTCTACTAAAAATACAAAAAAATTAACTGGGTTTGCTAGTGCGTGCCTGTAATCCTAGCTACTCTAGAGGCCAAGGCAGCAGAATCGCTTGAACCCGGGAGGCGGAGTTTGCAGTGAGCCAAGATCATGCCACTGCACTCTAGTCTGGTTGATAGAGCAAGACTCCATCTCAAAAATATATATGTATATATTTTATTTCAACTGTTAGACAAGAGTCCTAAGGCCAAAGAATAAAGTTTTAGGCCAGTCCTTTATTAGAAAGTGAGTCAAATCTCAAAGCAAGCTCTTCTTTTATGAGTTAATTAATATAAATGATTATATATTTTATGCCTTAAAAATCACTTTTAATGAATGGTGTTTTATGGCTTGTAAATCAGAGTTTTAATCAGTAAAGAAAGTTTTTAATTAATCCTCAAAAACACATTATCATAAAAGACACTGGCGTCAAATGTGGTATTTGGCCATGTTCATTAGGGTCATTTTAGGAATCTCATATATTCCACTTAGCTATGCTTAATTCCTGATAGCATGGCATTTTCTGAAATGTTTCGAGGATGACATCTCTGCTGTTTTTAATTTGGTAATGATACCTGCTGATTTATTAAGTGAGAAAAGTAATGGTGTCATTACCTTGGATGAAGAAACAAAAATAAAGCATTTGCCACATTTGTCAACTTTTTTTTCCTTTCTTACAAAATTACTATATGCTCATTGCTCCCAAACTGGACAATATAGGGAATAAAGAAGATAATTTGGGGCGGGGTTGGAGACGGCATCTTGCTATGTTGCCCAGGCTGGTCTCTAACTCCTGGCCTTATGCAATCTTCCTGCCTTGGCCTCCCAAAGTGCTGGGATTATAGGCGTGAGCCACTTCACCAAGCTGAGATGCCACCTTGTAAAAGATAAAATAAGGACAGATGCAGTGGCTCATGCCTGTAATCTCAGTACTTTGGGAGGCCAAGGTGGGAGGATTGTTCAAGGCCAAGAGTTCAAGACCAGCCTGGGCAGTGTCACAAGACGTGATCTCTACAAAGTTTAAAAAAAAAAAAAAAAAGAAAAGAAAAGAAAACTAGCTGGGGCCAGGCATGGTGGCTCATGCTTGTAATCCCAGCACTTTGGGAGGCCGAGGCAGGCAGATGGCCTGAGGTCAGGAGTTCGAGACCAGTCTGACCAGCGTGGTGAAACCCCGTCTCCACTAAAAATACAAAAATGAGCCAGGCATGGTGGCACATGCCTGTAATCCCAGCACTTTGGGAGGCCAAGACAGACAGATCACCTGAGGGCAGGAGTTCGAGACCAGCCTGACCAACATGGAGAAACCCCGTCTCTACTAAAAATACAAAATTAGCCAGGCTTGGTGGCACATGCCTGTAGTCCCAGCTACTTGGGAGGCTGAGGCAGTAGAATTGCTTGAACCCAGAAGGCAGAGGTTGCAGTGAGCCAAGATCACACCATTGCACTCTAGCCTGGGCAACAAGAGCGAAACTCCATCTCAAAAAAAAAAAAAAAAATTAGCTGGAAGGTGGCAAACACCTGTGGTCCCAGCTACTCAGGAGGCTGAGGCAGGAAGATCACTTGAGTCCAGGAGGTCAAGGCTGCAGATGAGCCATGTTTGTGCCACTGCACCGCAGCCTGGGTGACAGACGAAGACCCTTCTCAAAAAAATAAAATTACCTGTACTCTTTTTTTTGAGACAGAGTTTCACTCTTGTTGCCCAGGCTGGAGTGCAATGGTGTGATCTCGGCTCAGTGCAACCTCCGCCTCCTGGGTTGAAGCAATTCTCCTGCTTCAACCTCCTGAGTAGCTGGGATTACAGGCATGCACCACCACGCCCGGCTAATTTTTTGTATTTTTAGTAAAGATGGGGTTTCTCCATGTTCATCAGACTGGTCTCGAACTCCTGACCTCAGGTGATCCACCCACCTCGGCCTCCCAAAGTGCTGAGATTACAGGCCTAAGCCATCGCACCCGGCCTGTACTCTTATTCTTTAATAATAAAATATTTCTGTGTTTCTTTAGTCATTTTACATAAACTTTTATTTTTAAAATAATGTCATGATAAATAATATTGCTTAGGTATCTTCTTTAATATATTAGTAACATTTCTGTTTTATTGTACATCAACATTTATATTCAAACTAATGGGTGAAGAGTACTCCATTGGACTAGGTATATCGTAATTTAATCTATTATTGGACTTCTAGATTGCTTCTAAAATTACACTGTTATAAGCAGTGTTACAGTGAACATTCCTATGACTAAACCTTTGCATACATCTTTTGTCTCCCTAGGATATATTTCTAAAACTAGCATTGTTGACTGAAAGTATAAACACAGGTTAAGGTGTTTGCTACATAATGCCGTATTTCCTTTTTAGGTAATTAGGCTACTTTGGATTTCCACCAACACTGTATTCATGTACCCATTTTTGTCTTAACCTAACTTCATTGGTCTTTTTAATTCTTAACAGAGACCAGAACTCTGTAATTCAACATTCATTGTTGTGTAAATTAAACTTCTCCCATTCCTTTCAGACGGAACCCCTTACCTGGAATCTGGAATCAGTCTCTTCTCTGATGACCCTGAATCTGATCCTTCCGAAGACAGAGCCCCAGAGTCAGCTCATGTTGGCAGCATACCATCTTCAACCTCTGCATTGAAAGTACCCCAGTGGCAAGTTGCAGAATCTGCCCAGAGTCCAGCTGCTGCTCATAATACTAATACTGCTGGGTATAATGCAATGGAAGAAAGTGTGAGCAGGGAGAATCCGAAATTGACAGCTTCAACAGAAAGGGTCAACAAAAGAATGTCCTTGGTGGTGTCTGGCCTGACCCCAGAAGAATTTGTGAGTGTATCCATATGTATCTCCCTAATGACTAAGACTTAACAACATTCTGGAAACAGTTTTATGTAGGTCCTGGCAATTAATAACCTAGAGGAAGAAATCTAGGAAACAATCACAGTTCTGTGTAATTTAATTTCCATTACTAATTTCTGAAAATTTAGATCTAGATAAAGCTATAGTGTGGATTATTTTATATATATTTACTTGAGAAAATAATTATTAAATATTAGCAGAAAAGCTATACTTTGGTATGATATAGGACTTTTGAATTTGAATTTTCCTTTATATCTGTAAAAGCAAGTAGGTATAGCTTTATTCCCCAGAAGGCATCTTTTTTCCCCCTTGGCTCACATGGGTGAATTTACCAGCATATTTAACTAAATTCAGACTGGTTCCAAACATACTGCCAGACAGAGTAGCATTTCTCTACTGTTTGTTTTTATCCTGGCTTGTAAGACAGTTACTCAATAGCCTGCCCTGCCATGTCTGCCCTGTAACATCCCTTGCTATTAGGATTTTGGCATCACCTTGGGTCCTTAATGCCAGAAATGGGAATTACTTCACACTGTGGAAAAATACTCATTAAAATATTAAGACCAGTAAAACCTCGTTTCTTTTTGGGCTATTTGTGGATTTCAGACATCCTGAGAAGTTTACCACCCCTGTAATTAATTGTCTTTGTCATCACTTCATAATAAAAATAATTCGTGGCCGGGCACGGTGGCTCAAGCCTGTAATCCAAGCACTTTGGGAGGCTAAGGCGGGCAGATCGCCTGAGGTCGGGAGTTCAAGACCAGCCTGACCAACCTAGAGAAACCCCGTCTTCACTAAAAATACAAAATTAGCTGGGCGTGGTGGCCCATGCCTATAAGCCCAGCTACTCGGGAGGCTGAGGCAGGAGAATCGCTTGAACCCAGGAGGCAGAGGTTGCGGTGAGCCGAGATTGCGCCATTGCACTCCAGACTGGGCAACAAGAGCGAAACTGTGTCTCAAAATAATAATAATAATAATAATAATAATTGCGTGAATATTTCTTTAAAACTATGATGAGATAACATACCAGATTATCAAATGGATTCAGTAGTGGGTGTGCCATTTATTGCACACTGAGAGATGACCAAATCATTCTGAAATATCTTTCTTAATATATCTTTCCTAGGATTTTTCATCCTAACTTCTCCATAGGTAGTGACTTAGCATAACATCTCTGTGGCCAGATGTATCCCACTACTGAAAGGGCAAAGTAAGCTGTGGCTGCCCTGGTAGATACACTGAGTAAGTGCACAGTGATGGCTATAAATGTTTTCATCTCATAATCCCATGCCCAGACCAGCAATTTGCTCTAAAAGCTTTTACCTGTGTCTGTTTCAATGGCTCTTGATCATTTGCCTGCACATCCGGAATTCCTTACTTATTCATTGAAAATTAGCATTCTTTATCCCTTTGTTTTGCAAGTTCAGCTTTTTAGAGATGGCTAAAATGGTCTAATCTTTCTTGCCAAAGGCAATTCTGAGCTGCAGTTTAGACTACAAGTGGCTTGGGTACGTGTTGTCTTTAAACAAGCAAAGAGGAAAACTTTGAGCTTTATTCAGACTTGGTGAAGTGTGGTAAATTTATGATGAAAGCTACTGACTGTATTACACATGATTAATTCTGAAGCCCATATTAAGATGATCTTTTCATCAGTTCAGCATTGCTCTTCTAACAGAACAGTTTCAAGGCTGGGATTTTAGCAATTAATCAGTTCAGAATTGCTAATGATCCTGGCAGAGGGTGGTGGCAAAAGGGGGAGGATGTCATTAGCTTCTCTAGCCTGCATTTTTTCAGCGCCCTGTGGCAGTATGGAGTAAGGCAACATGAAAGAAAGATGGCCTGACCTTCATGGCAGTATTGTGCAACACGTAAATACTGGTGTGGGTGGCTGTGGCTATGGCTAGTAAATGACGGCCCTTGGTAAACAAAGTTATTTATCAGACAATACCTACCAACTAGGTCAACTGTGCCCATAATGGATCTGGTTAATTTCTTTTGCTATTGATTTTTATTTGGTTGATAGATAATAGCTAGAGGACTCTAAATTTCTTTGGGGAAGAATATGAACCCCTTCTAAGCCTTCTCCTTACAAGAGAATTGATCGCTTTTGCAATGACCTTTAGTAACATCTTGATTTCAGTGTTTTGTAACTATCAGAGGGTTGAGTCTTGGTTTTAAGCCATATATGTCTGTAGCATAACTTTCTGTGTAGGGTAGTTATCTCTCAGCTTATAAAGCGTAGGCTGATAAATTTATAGTAGAGTGTCACTATGCAAAGAAACTGTCTTAGGGAATCAGATGATATCAGCTATTAAAGCAAAATTAATATATATTTTTTCTTTTTACTTTTTTTTTTTTTTTTTTTTTAAGACATGCGATCTCACAGTATTGCCCAGGCTGGCCTTGGTCTCAGACTCTTGGGTTCAAGAGTCCCACCTTAGCTTCACAAAGTGCTGGGTTATAGGCATGAGCCACCGTGTCTGGCCCAATGTATATTTTTTTAAGTTTTAAGTTTGTGGTACATAGTAGGTGTATAATACTATTTTGAATCCTTAGTTGTAATTCTATGTCTGCTGATGTGTACATAATTTTTTATTAAACTATTTGAGACTTCAAGTATCTTTTTAGGGCTGGGGATGGAGTCTTGCACTCTTGCCCAAGCTGGAGTGCAGTGGCGCCTTCTCGGCTCACTGCAAGCTCCGCCTCCCGGGTTCACTCCATTCTCCTGTCTCAGCCTCCCAAGTAGCTGGGACTACCACGCCCGGGTAATTTTTTGTATTTTTAATAGACACGGGGTTTCACCGTGTTAGCCAGGATGATCTCCATCTCCTGACTTCATGATCCGCCCGCCTCGGCCTCCCAAAGTGCTGGGATTACAGGCGTGAGCCACCGTGCCCGGCCGAGACTTCAGGTATCTTAGAATTTTTTAAAATGTACCCTTTCTGAGAAAAACAGAGACTTAAAGCTAGGATAACTGGTATTATTATTTTTTCTTTTTTTTTTTAAATTTTACCTCCAGCCTGGGTAACAGAGCAAGACTCTGTCTCAAAAAACAAAAATTCACCTTAAATAATTCCAGGACACATGTGCAGAACGTGCAGGATTGTTACGTAGGTAAACATATGCCATGATGGGATAACTAGTATTCTGAGCTGTGTACTAGAGGTAACTCATGATAATGGAATATTTGATTTAATTTCAGATGCTCGTGTACAAGTTTGCCAGAAGATACCACATCGCTTTAACTAATCTAATTAGTGAAGAGACTACTCATGTCGTTATGAAAACAGGTATACCAAGAACCTTTACAGAATACTTTGCATTTGCTGCATAAAATCACATGAGGCCAGGCATGGTGGCTCACGCCTGTAATCGCAACACTTTGGGAGGCCAAGGTGGGCAGATCATGAGGTCAGGAGATCGAGACCATCCTGGCCAGCATGGTGAAACGATGTCTCTACTAAAAAATAAAAAAATTAGCTGGGCATGGTGACGTGCGCCTGTAGTCCCAGTTACTCGTGAGGCTGAGTATCACTTGATACTCAGGGAGATGGAGGTTGCAGTGAGCCAAGATCATGCCATTGCACTCCAGCCTGGTGACAGAGCAAGACTCCATCTTAAAAAAAAAAAAAAAAAAAAAGAAAAAGTAAGAATATTTGTTGAGCATAGCATGGATGATAGTCTTCTAATAGTCGATCAATTACTTTATGAAAGACAAATAATAGTTTTGCTGCTTCCTTACCCCCTTTTGTTTTGGCTTAAGATTTGGAGTGTGGGCCGGCCGCGGTGGCTCACACGTGTAATCCCAGCACTTTGGGAGGCCAAGGCAGGTGGTCACCTGAGGTCAGGAGTTCGAGATCAGCCTGGCCAACATGGTGAAACCCTGTCTCTACTAAAAATACAAAAATTAGCCGGGTGTGGTGGTATGCACCTGTAATCCCAGCTACTTGGGAGGCTGACGCAGAAGAATTGCTTGAACCCTGGAGGCTGAGGTTGCAGTGAGCTGAGATTGTGCCGCTGCCCTCCAGCCTGGCGACAGAGTGAGACTCCGTCTCAACAACAACAAAAACCTGGAGGCAGGTTTTTGAGGAAAAACCTGGAGACCCCAGCTTCATGTAACACCTAGTTTGAGTATGTTGAGAGTTTTTCAGGAAAAAAGTCTGGTAACAGCTCTGAGATAGTCTTAACATATGAAAAACCAAAAAAGGAAGGGGACAGATCATTTGTTCTATACCTTTCTTTTTTAAGGTTTTAATTATAACTTGTGTGATACAGGAGACCTCTGGGAGTTTTTAGTTGACTTAAAAACTAAATCTGAGTAAACATTTCAGGGCTGCTAAAAAAGCTTATTTGAAACTGGGCCGTAATAACACAAGCATAGGGTCTGGAGCAAGTGAAGTACAGATCCCGAGCCCCACAGTATTCTCCATTGGAGTGACTGCCTGAAAGCTGATGTCTGTTTTAAGCACCGTGCTTGGTTTTTAACATGGTCACTGACAAACTGGGGAGTGTTTATTCAGAGTTAAATGGTAAAGATGCAGAAAAGTAACTTGAAATAATGTCTTTTGAAGAAGAAATGAGAAGATTTAAGGAAATAAGACACTGTCTTCAAGTATCTGAAGAACCACTACCCGGAAGACAACTGTTATCTGGAACAAAAGTAAGACTCACTCATGGGGCTCCAGAAAGCAGACGAGTGCATGGAGGACGCAGAAGATGCAGATTGTGTGGCTCAAGTCTAAAATGTTTCTAACAAAGTTGGTTCTCTGGATGTGTTCCAGTCCACTCGATGATGAATTTTTTTTTTTTTTTTTGAAGTGGAGTTTCACTCTTGTTTCCCAGTCTGCCAGAGTGCAATGGCACGATCTTGGCTCGCTGCAACCTCCCCCTCCTGGGTTCAAGCACGTCTCCTGCCTCAGCCTCCTGAGTAGCTGGGATTACAGGCAGGTACCACCACACCTAATTTTGTATTTTTAGTAGAGACGGGGTTTTCCATGTTGGTCAGGCTGGTCTTGAACTCCTGACCTCAGGTGATCCACCTGCCTCAGCCTCCCAAAGTGCTGGGATTACAGGCATGAGCCATCGCGCCCAGCCCATGATGATTCTTTTCGGAGAGATACAGGCACTTGAGGAGAGGATGTAAACCCCTTGGATACATTGCCATAGAACTTCTATGATCTTAGGTTTCTACTTACTCATGAAAATTATACCACAGGGTCAGAGGATAGTGCTCATTGGAGCCAGGTGCCAGAAAAAGTTATTACAAACTACTGTTTTAGAGAAAAATGTCATTAAAGTTTAATATACCTTAAGCTATAGGTTTGCATCAAAGCTAGTGAAAGGTAAAAAAATTTGACAATGCAAATTAAGGCCAGGTGCGGTGGCTCACACCTGTAATCCCAGCACTTTGGGAGGCCGAGGCCGGTGGATCACGAGGTCAGGAGATCGAGACCATTCTGGCTAACATAGTGAAACCCCATCTCTACTAAAAATACAAAAAATTAGCCGGGCATGGTGGCAGGTGCCTGTAGTCCCAGCTACTTGGGAGGTTGAGGCAGGAGAATGGCGTGAACCTGGGAGGCGTAGCTTGTAGTAAGGTGAGATGACACCACTGCACTCCAGCCTGGGCAACAGAGCAAGACTCCGTCTCAAAAAAAAAAAGGCACCCGGCTAATTTTTTTTGTATTTTCAGTAGAGACAGGGTTTCACCATGTTAGCCAGGATGGTCTTGATCTCCTGACCTCGTGATCCACCCGTCTCGGCCTCCCAAAGTGCTGGGATTACAGGCTTGAGCCACCGCGCCCGGCCCAGATTTAGGTTTTCAACAATACTGTTTTCTTCTCCTTTCACATATTGCCATCTAGTAATATAGATGTTCTCCGTCCACATTAATCAAAACTATTGACATGGATAATTGCTAATTCCTTGAACACTATAATGGAGTTCTATAGCTAGCCTTGGCATCTAGAAGATGGGTGTTGGGGAGAGGGAGTGGACAGACATTCCTCTCGTCTTAACTTTATATCAGCCTTCCCTAGACTTCCAAAGATCCACACCTGCTGGTTATAATTAATGGTGTTTTCAGCCTCTGATTCTGTCACCAGGGGTTTTGGAATCATAAATCTAGATTGATCTTGGGAGTGTAAGAAACTGAGGCTCTTTAGCTTCTTAGGACAGCAATTCCTGATTTTGTTTTCAACTTCTAATCCTTTGAATGTCTTTCATTCTGCAGATGCTGAGTTTGTGTGTGAACGGACGCTGAAATATTTTCTGGGAATTGCGGGAGGAAAATGGGTAGTTAGCTATTTCTGTAAGTATAATACGATTTCTCCCCTCCTCCCTTTAACACCTCAGAATTGCATTTTTACACCTAACATTTAACACCTAAGGTTTTTGCTGATGCTGAGTGTGAGTTACTGAAAGGTCTTTAATTGTAACACTAAACTACCTTTATCTTTAATGCGTATCACTTTGTTCAGATAAACTGGTGATGCTGGGAAAATGGGTCTCTTTTATAACTAATAGGACCTAATCTAGCAATGTTAGCATATGAACTAGGGATTTATTTAATAGTTGGCAGGAATCCATGTGCAGCAGGCAAACTTATAATGTTTAAATTAAACATCAACTGTGTCTCCAGAAAGAAACTGCTGCTACAAGCCTTATTAAAGGGCTGTGGCTTTAGAGGGAAGGGACCTCTCCTCTGTCATTCTTCCTGTGCTCTTTTGTGAATCGCTGACCTCTCCATCTCCATGAAAATAGCACGTTCTTCTGCTGTGTGTAACCTGTCTTTTCTATGATCTCCTTAGGGGTGACCCAGTCTATTAAAGAAAGAAAAATGCTGAATGAGGTAAGTACTTGATATTACAAACTAATCAGAGACATGGTGTCATTCAGTCATATAGTTAAAAATGTATTTGCTTCCTTCCATCAATGCACCACTTTCCTTAATGCACAAATTTTCCATGATAATGGGGATCATCAAGAGTTATGCAGGCCAGGCACGGTGACTCACACCTATAATCCCAGCACTTTGGGAGGCTGAAGTGTTCGGATCACCTGAGGTCGGGAGTTCAAGACCAGCCTGACCAACATGGAGAAACCCCATTTCTACTAAAAATACAAAATTAGCCGGGCATGGTGGCGCATGCCTGTAATCCCAGCTACTCAAGAGGCTGAGGCAGGAGAATCACTTGAACCGGGGAGGTGGGGGTTGCAGTGAGCTGAGATAGCGCCATTGCACTCCAACCTGGGCAACAAGAGCAAAACTCCATCAAAAAAAAAAAAAAAGCCAGGTGCGGTGGCTCATGCCTGTAATCCTAACACTTTGGGAAGCCAAGGCAGGTAGATTGCCTGAGCTCAGGAGTTCGAGATCAGCCTGGGCAACATGGTGAAACCCTGTCTCTACTAAAATACAAAAAATTACCCAGGCGTGGGAGCACGTGCCTGTAGTCCCAGCTACTCAGGAGGCTAAGGCAGGAGAATCGCTTGAACCCAGGAGGCAGAAGTTGCAATGAGCCAAGATCACGCCACTGCACTCCAGCCTGGCAACAGAGCAAGACTCCGTCTTAAAAAAAAAAATTTGCAGAGCAAACCAGGATATCCTCTGTTCTCATTTGTTCTAGATTTCAAAAGAAAGTCCTTTCTTTGAGGAAAAGAGAAAGGAAAAGGAGTTTATAAAGGGAAAGAAAACATTCATAAGATAAGAAGTGTGCCCATTTGCATATACCTTTGTAGAAAACTGTTCAGTGTTGTTGAAGAAAACTCTTCATATTAATATGCAGTCCAGGTGCAGTGGCTCAACACTTATAATCTCAGCACTTTGGGAGGCTGAGACAGGAAGATTACTTGAGGCCAGGAGTTTCAAACCAGCCTGGGCAACATAGTGAGACTCTGTCTCCACAAAATTTTTTTTTTAATTAGCCAGGCATGGCAATGTGCACCTGTAGTCTTAGCTACTGAGGAAGCTAAGCCAGAAGAATCACTTGAGCCCAGGAGTTCAAGGCTGCAGTGAGCTATGATCATACCACTGCACTCTTAACACTTGCACAGAGCAAGACCCTATCTCTTAAAAAAAAGTGTGTGTGTGTGCATATGCGTATATACATATATATATACATGCAAATGTATCTTTATAATTCAAATTGCTTCAAAAAGATGTTGCACTGCCTGTAATCCCAGCACTTTGGGAGGCCGAGACGGGCGGATCACGAGGTCAGGAGATCGAGACCATCCTGGCTAACACGGTGAAACCCCGTCTCTACTAAAAATACAAGAAAATTAGCCGGGCGAGGTGGCGGGCGCCTGTAGTCCCAGCTACTCGGGAGGCTGAGGCAGGAGAATGGCGTGAACCCGGGGAGGCGGAGCTTGCAGTGAGCCGAGATCGCGCCCCTGCACTCCAGCCTGGGGCACAGAGCAAGACTCCATCTCAAAAAAAAAAAAAAAAAAAAAGATGTTGCACTTTATGATACTGAGAACAGTGAGAAGTAAATAAGATAGAGAGTAGGAGAAGGAATAATTTTTTTTTTTTTTTTTTTGAGACGGAGTCTTGCTCTGTAGCCCGGGCTGGAGTACAGTGGCCGGATCTCAGCTCACTGCAAGCTCCGCCTCCCGGGTTTACGCCATTCTCCTGCCTCAGCCTCCGGAGTAGCTGGGACTACAGGCGCCCGCCACCTCGCCCGGCTAGTTTTTTTGTATTTTTTTTAGTAGAGACGGGGTTTCACCGTGTTAGCCAGGATGGTCTCGATCTCCTGACCTCGTGATCCACCCGTCTCGGCCTCCCAAAGTGCTGGGATTACAGGCTTGAGCCACCGCGCCCGGCCTGGAAGGAATAATTTTAGAGCAGCCATCTGAGAACTTCTATGACAACAGATCAGGCAAAATAAAATGTGAAAGTAATTTTATAGGCCAGGCGCGGTGGCTCATGCCTGTAATCCCAGCAGTTTGGGTGACTGAGGTGGTTGGATCACTTGAGGTCAGGAGTTCGAGACCAGCCTGGTCAACATGGTAAAACCTTGTCTCTACTGAAAATATAAAAAATTAGCCGAGCACAGTGGCATGTTGGCCAAGCTGAGGCTGGCCTTGAACTCCTGACATCAGGTGATCCACCCACCTTGGCCTCCCAAAGTGCTGGGATTACAGGTGTGAGCCACTGTGCCTGGCCAGATGCGTGAATTTTGAGATGTATACTAGACATCTGGATAGAGAAGTTAAGTAGGCAGTTGGACACATCGTATGAAGCTCAGGAGTACAAGGAGGACTATAAACATGGGAGTCTTGTGACAAATTTATCACTAGACTCCTCATTCAAGTAACTAGGAAATGTCAGATATTCTTCCCCTAGTAATAGCCGGTGGTTATACTCTTGCCTTTATTTTTCTTCACAATACTCTTGGCAACACATAAGGCCTTCCCTACAATGTGAGTTTCAGTCAGACTTGTTTCTGAGCATTCTTCCTCAAGTTTCTCCCCAGTCTCATTATTCTTTATTCTCATGTCCATGACTAGTCATAATAGTGATTACGAAAAACCTCTAACTTTCTTTAGTGTATTGAATGTATATCTTATCATTTTGGTTGTGTTAACTGTGTAAATCTCTCAGTGGAAATCTGAAAAGCCTTTATTTCCTTAGATGATAATATGCAATTGATTTAGGAGAAAGGGAATTTTTCAGTTACCTTTATAACAGCAAAATATTAGCAGTTTAATCTAAATGCTAAGTGAATGTTTTGAGAGGAGATAGATGTTGAAAATCAAGATACATTAAGTCCCAAGTGAGGTGAAAAGCTGACTGTTAATTTCTGCACACAAAGATTTGCTTCAGTGAATTGATTTCAACAGCTGAGATACTGATCATTTCACCTGGTCTACCAAAAAGAATGATTTTACTTTCTTTTTTGTCAAATCTCTGCCCAGCAATTCTTTTTCTTTCTTTCGTTTGTTTGTTTGTTTTTAGCCAGGTCTCACTTTGTCACCCAGGCGGGAGTGTGGTGGTATGATCATAGTTCACTGCAGCCTCCAACTCCTGGGCTCAAGTGACCCTCCAGCTTCAGCTTTTCAAGAAATTGGGACTACAGACACATGCAACTATGCCTGACTGAAATTCTATATATCTTTTTTGTAGAGAAGGGATCTCACTGTGTTGCCCAGGTGGATCTCGAGCTCCTGGTCTCAAGCCATCCTCCTGCCTCAGCCTCCCAAAGTGCTAGGGTTATAGGTGTGAGCCATTGGTGTCCAGCTACTGCCTGCCTGGCAGTTCTGAATGCCTTAATTTTTTTTTTTTTTTTTTTTTTTCTTGAGACAGAGTTTCACTCTGTCACCCCAGCTGGAGTGCAGTGGCATGATCTTGGCTCACTGCAACTTCCGCCTCCCGGTTTCAAGCAATTCTCACGCCTCAGCCTCCCAAGTAGCTAGGAAGTAACTGGGACTACAGGCGCACGCCACCACGCCCAGCTAATTTTTGTATTTTTTTTAACTTTATTTTTAATTTTTTGAGATGGAGTCTTGCTCTGTCACCCAGGCTGGAGTGCAGTGGCACCATCTCGACTCACTGCAACCTCCACCTCCTGGGTTCAAAAGATTCTCCTGCCTCAGCCTCCCAAGTAGCTGGGATTACAGGCGCCTGCCACCACACCCAACTAATTTTTTGTATTTGTAGTAGATAGAAGGTTGCACCATGTTGGTCAGACTGGTTTCGAACTCCTGACCTCAAGTAATCCGCCCGCCTCAGCCTCCCAAAGTGCTAGGATTACAGGCGTGAGCCGCTGCACCCAGCCTTGTGTTTTTTTGTTTTTTGGTTTTTTTTAGTTAAGCGGAGTTTCACCATGTTGGCTAGGCTGGTCTCAAACACCTGACCTCAAATGATCCAACCACCTCGGCCTCCCAAAGTGCTGGTATTACAGGCGTGAGCCACTGCGCCTGGCCTGAATGCCTTAAACATGACATGTCTGCTCCACTTCCATTGAAGGAAGCTTCTCTTTCTCTGATCCTGATGGTTTGTGTTTGGTTTCCTTCAGCATGATTTTGAAGTCAGAGGAGATGTGGTCAATGGAAGAAACCACCAAGGTCCAAAGCGAGCAAGAGAATCCCCAGACAGAAAGGTAAAGCTCCCTCCCTCAAGTTGACAAAAATCTCACCACACCACTCTGTATTCCAGTTCCCTTTACAGAGATGGGCCACTTCATCTCGTAAGACTTACTAGATACATACACACTGCTTAGATACTTTCACGCAGTTTCTTTTTTCACTCTTCCATTCCAACCACATAAATAAGTATTGTCTCTACTTTATGAATGATAGAACTAAGATATTTAGAGAGGCTGTATAATTTGGATTCCTGTCTGGGGTTCAGATCTCAGCTGATAAGTGGAAGAGCTGAGACTTTAAGCAGATGGGAATCTAAAGCCTTTGCTCTTTTCACTTCACTGGGGTGTCTTTCTCTCTCTCTCTCCTTTTTTTTTTCCCGAGACGGAGTCTCACTCTGTCATCCAGGCTGGAGTGCAGTGGTACGATCTCAGCTCACTGAAAACTCCGCTTCCCAGATTCAAGCAATTGTTCTGCCTCAGCCTCTCAAGTAGCTGGGATTATAGGCATTGCCACCACACTGGGCTCATTTTTTGTATTGTTAGTAGAGACAGGGTTTCACTGTGTTGGCCAGGCTGGTCTCGAACTCCAGATCTCAGGTGATCCCCCCAACTCAGCCTCCCAAAGTGCTAGGATTACAGGCGTGAGCCATCACGCCCAGCCTAGAGTGTCTTTCTCTAAAGCAGTGTGGTAAATGCTGTGAGCAAGCCATACACAGTGCTGTCTGTGGAAGCATAGAAGAGGAAGTGATTAATAATAGCTATTTTTTTTTTTTTGAGACGAAATCTCACTCTGTCGCCCAGGCTTGAGTGCAGCGGCACAATCTCAGCTCACTGCAACCTCTGCCGCCTAGGTTCAACCAATTCTCCTGCCTCAGCCTCCCGAGTAGCTGGGATGACAGGCGCCTGCCTCTGCACCCAGCTAATTTTTATAGTTTTTAGTAGAGGCAGGGTTTAACTATCTTGCCCAGGCTGGTCTTGAACCCCTGACCTTGTGATCTACCTGCCTTGGCCTCCCCAAGTGCTGGGATTACAGGCATGAGCCACCGTGCCTGGCTAATAATAGCTAAAATTTATACACTGTTCACTAGGCCAGGCACAGTCATTCCTGTTAGTTATCCCAGCACTTTGGGAGGCTGAGGCAGGCAGATCGCTTGAGCCAAGGAGTTCGATACCAGCCTGGGCAACATGGCAAAACCCCATTTCTACCAAAAAAAAATATACAAAAATTAGCCAGGCGTGGTGGCATATACCTGCAGTTCCAACTACTTGGAAGGGTGAGTTGAGAGTATCTCTTGATCCCAAGAGGTGGGGGTTGCAGTGAACCGAGATTGCACCACTGCATTCCAGCCTGGATGACAGAGAGAAGGTCTCAAAAAAAAAAAAAAGATCACTTTATGCCAGGGGCTGCTGTAAAGGCCCAACCATGTTTTAAGTAATTAACAATTTTATGACAACTCTATGAGCTATGTACTGTAATTATGCCTATATTACAAATGTGAAAATTTAGGTTCAGAGAGGTTGAATAAGTTGCCCAGAGTCACACAGCTAGTAAGTGATGGAACTAGAAGTTGAACTCAGGGAGTCTAGCTCCAAGTCTAAACTCTTTGTTAATTTATTTTTCGGGCCAGAGTCTTGCTCTGTCACCCAGGCTGGAGTGCAGTGCCGCTATCTCTGCTTACTGAACTTGGGAGGAACTTTTACTTCCCAAGTTCAAGCAATTCTTGTGCCTTGGTCTCCCAAGTAGCTAGGATTACAGGCATGTGCCACCACACCTAGCTAATTTTTTGTCTCATTCTGTTGGCCAGTCTGGAGTGCAGTGGCGCAATCTCAGCTCACTGCAGCCTCCAGCGCAGGTTCAAGTGATTCTTGTGCCTTAGCCTCCCAAATAGCTGGGATTACAGGCACTTGCCACCACACCCAGATAATTTTTTGTATTTTTAGTAGAAACAGGGTTTCAACATGTTAGCCAGGCTGGTCTCAAATTCCTGACCTCAGATGATCTGCCCGCCTCAGGCTCCCAAAGTGCTGGGATTACAGGGGTGAGCCACCATTCCCAGCCTTAATTTTTATATTTTTATTAGAGATGGAGTTTTGCCATGTTGGCCAGGCTGGCCTTCATCTCCTGGCCTCCAGTGATCCACCCACCTCGGCCTCCCAAAGTGCTGGGATTACAGGCATGAGCCACTGCACCCGGCCTCCAACTCTAAACTCTTAACAATACCATAGTTTCTTGAAAAGTTATTGAAGGCTTCACAGAGGGAAAAAAAATGGAGCATTCTAACAATTTTGCAGATGAGACCCAAGAAGACTCAATGACTTTCTCCAGATCATATTGTAGCAGATGACATAGTCAGAACTGTGACTTCCTCTCAGGGAGAACTCTGTGCAAGATTTCACACCTACCTGTCAGGCCTGAGCTGGCTGCTTTCTCAGCTCCCTAAGTGCTATGTTCCCAGTTTGCTTTTCTTCCTTTTTCAAGTGTGCACTGCTAGCCATTTCAGAACATCCCAGGCCGGTCACAGTGGCTCATGCCTCTAATCCCAGCACTTTGGGAGCCCAAGGCAGGTGGATCACCTGAGGTCAGGAGTTAGAGACCAGCCTGGCCAACATGGTGAAACCCCATCTCTACTAAAAATACAAATATTAGCTGGGTATGGTGGCAGGCACCTGTAATCCCAGCTCGGGATTACTCAGGAGGCTGAGGCTGGAGAATCGGTTGAACCTGGGAGGCAGAGGTTGCAGTGAGCCAAGATTGCGCCACTGCACTCCAGCCTGGGGACAAGAGGGAGACTTCGTCTCAAAAAAAAAAAAAAAATCCGAGCTGGGTGCAGCGTCTCATGCCTGTAATCCCAGCACTTTAGGAGGCCAAGGCAGGAGGATCACTTGAGCCCAGGAGTTCAAGACTAGCCTGGGCAACATAGTAAGACTCTGTCTCTACAAAAAAATTTAAAAATTAATTGGGTGTTGTAGCGCACTCCTGTATTCCCAGCTACTCAGGAGACTGAGGTGAGAAGAATGCTTGAGCCTGGGAGATCGAGGCTGCAGCAAGCCTTGATGGTGCTACTGCACTCCAGCCTAGCCAACATTGTGAGACCTTGTCTCAAAACAAAACAAAACATCCTTCTACTGAGCACTTTCTGTTATTTTATAGAAACTTAACAGGGAACCAGTAGAGGTAATTTCCTAAGGAAAACTGCTTTGGGACATGATCACAAATCAAGCCTGGAGTTTTGAACTCTTGAGGTCAGCCTGTTTTTACCTTCTGAGCCTATCAAGTAATTGTTCCAGATGCCAAGAAAAGCTGCTGGCCTTATTTCTGCTTCTGCCTTTACCACAGGGGAGCACCATGTGAACCAGTCCTCTGTTTTTCCTCCACTGTATGCTAGGCAGTATTAGCACAAGATTCTTCCTTTCTTTAAAAAGAAATTCTAGTGCTTTGGATTTTTTCCTCTGTGCAGAATAGCAATAATGGAAAGTATGTGGTCAAAGTAATGACATTCTGAGGATACTAAATGTCACCATAGTATTTTTCTCTGGAAGAGAAATGTATGTGTAGAGGTGAAACTTCACATTTCCTTTTTTTTTTTTTTTTTTTTTTTTTGTGGGAGGATGAAGTTTTGCTCTTGTTGCCCAGGCTGGAGTACAATGGCGCGATCTCGGCTCACCGCAATCTCTGCCTCCTGGGTTCAAGTGATTCTCCTGCCTCAGCCTCCCAAGTAACTAGGATTACAGGCATATGCCACCACATCCAGCTAATTTTGTATTTTTAGTAGAGATAGGGTTTCTCCATGTTGGTCAGGCTGGTCTTGAACTCCCGACCTCAGGTGATCCACCCACCTCGGCCTCCCAAAGTGCTGGTATTACAGGCCACTGCACTCAGCCTGAAATTTCAAATTTATTTTTTTCCTTTTTCTTTTTTTTAATTTGAGACGGAGTCTCGCTCTGTCACCCAGGCTGGAGTGCAGTGGCGTGGTCTTGGCTCACTACCAGCTCCGCCTTCCAGGTTCACGCCGTTCTCCTGCCTCAGCCTCTTGAGTAGCTGGGACTACAGGCACCCCCCACCACGCCCGGCTAATTTTTTGTATTTTTAGTAGAGACAGGGGTTTCACTGTGTTAGCCAAGATGGTCTCAATCTTTTGACCTCGTGATCCGCCTGCCTCAGCCTCCCAAAGTGCTGGGATTACAGGCATGAGCCACCACACCCATCCCAAAACTTCAGATTTCTTGTCTCATAACTAGACATCCTCATCACTGAGTGTTAGCCTGGATATAAGCATTCCTAATCTTTTGTACTTTTCATGTCAGCATTTGGCTCCAGCTAGCTGCCTGGAGAGAACTTCTAGCATTATGAACATGCAGGTCCTATCAACAGGTTGGGGGTGCAGTTTATTGATACAGATAGTGAGAGTGGCACAGATGGATGCTGTCCCTTAAAACAAACAGATTTGTCTTTGGGAGGCTGAGGCGGGTGTATCATGAGGTCAGGAGTTCAAGACCAGCCTGGCCAACATAGTGAAACCCCGTCTCTACTAAAAATACAAAGAATTAGCCAGGTGTGGCCGGCATGGTTGCTCACACCTGTAATCCCAGCACTTTGGGAGGCTGAGGCGGACGAAGCACAAGGTCAGGAGATCAAGACCATCCTGGCTAACATGGTGAAACCCGTCTCTACTAAAAATACAAAAAATTAGCCGGGCGTGGTGGCAGGCGCCTGTAGTCCCAACTACTTGGGAGGCTGAGGCAGGAGAATGGCGTAAACCCGGGAGGCAGAACTTTCAGTGAGCCGAGATTGCACCACTGCACTCCAGCCTGGGCTACAGATCAAGACTCTGTCTCAAAAAAAAAAAAAAATAGCCAGGATTGGTGGTGTGCACCTATAATCCCAGCTACGTGGGAGGCTGAGGCAGGAGAATTGCTTGAACCCAGGAGGCAGAGGTTGCAGTGAGCTGAGATCACGCCGTTGCACTCCAGCACAGGTGACAGTGCGAGACTCCATCCCAAAAAAAAAAAACAGACTTGTCCTGCTGCCCTTTCTTTTCCCTCTGGCAGGAGAGAGAGAGAGAGAGTGTGTGTATATGTGTGTCCGTCTGTCCGTCCGTCCGTCCGTCCGTCCATCTGTCTGTCTGTCAAGGGGGAGGGTGACCACTTTCTAAAAGGCCATCTGTGTATTTTTAGCTTCCTGATTTTTTTCTCTATGGCAGTCTCTTTGAAGCCAGGTGAATTTTAGGCCTTGGCAATTTTCTTTTTATTAGAATGGGACGGTCAAGACAATGAGAGTCACCCAAAACATATCCATTCAAATGATACAATTTTAGGGTTTATTTTTAAGTGATACCCAAGTTTTTTGCTAAGAACCTATGCCAGTGTGTATATGAGAATTTGCACTGTCCCACACTGTTGCCACCAGCCACATGGGACTGTTTAAAGTTAAATTTTACAAATGAGCCAGTCGTGGTGGTGTGCACCTGTAGTCCCAGCTACTTAGGAGGCTGAGGCGGGAGGATTGCTTGAGTGCAGGAGTTCAATGCTGCAGCAAGCTATGATCGTGCCACTGTACTCCAGCCTGAGTGACAAAATGAGACCTCATCTCTTCAAAAAAAAAAAAAAAGAAAAAAATTAAAATATGAAGTTTAGTTCTTCATTCACCCTAACCACATCTCCAGTGCCCAATAACTATATGTGACTCATGGCTACCTTATTAGCATAGATATAGAACACTGTGACTATCACAAAGTTGTTTTGAACAGTGTTGCCAAACCCTGTAAGTGGAAGAGGCGGTGCAGTGTGGTCTATGTCTTCAGGAAACCAGGCAGTCAGACCAGTTCAATGAGGAGAGGCAGAACATGGCTTCACTTCTAAATTAAAAACTGCTTAGGTGGTCTAAAGATACAATGGCCATTCTCAGAGTAGTGAGAAGGAAGGAACAGATGTTTAGGGGGCTAGAAGAAAGTCAGAGAGGGCCGGACGCAGTGACTCATGCCTGTAATCCCAGCACTTTGGAAGGCCAAGACAGGCAGATAACGAGGTCAGGAGTTCAAGCCCAACCTGACCAACATGGCGAAACCCTGTCTCTACTAAAAATACAAAAATTAGCCAGGCGTGGTGGTGGGCGCCTGTAATCCCAGCTGCTCAGGAGGCTAAGGCAGGAGAATCACTTGAACCTTGGGGGCAGAGGTTGCAGTGAGCCCAGATTGCACCACTTCACTCCAGCCTGAGTGACAGAGTAAGACTCCGTCTCAAAAAGAAGGAAAAAAAAAAAAAGTCAGAGGAGACAAGGAGCATGTACACCTAAAATCAACATAGACCCCTCTGCTGATGGGGTCATGGTGAGTACTTGAGGTACCAAGTCTGGATAAACATCAAACTTCAGCCAATAGCTTTGAGTTTCTAGCCATCCAAGCCTTTTATTAAACATACAGAAGGACCTTTTTTCCCTTACATCTAACAAGTAAAAGCACCTACAAAGAATGCCTATAGAGTGTAGGTCAACTACATATGCACTTCAAAAAGATCTTCCGAAATCCTTTAGTGTTCTGGACATTGGACTGCTTGTCCCTGGGAAGTAGTAGCAGAAATCATCAGGTGGTGAACAGAAGAAAAAAGCTCTTCCTTTTTGCAAGTCTGTTTTTTGGATAAAAGCCAATATTCTTTTATAACTAGATTTCCTTCTCTCCATTCCCCTGTCCCTCTCTCTTCCTCTCTTCCAGATCTTCAGGGGGCTAGAAATCTGTTGTTATGGGCCCTTCACCAACATGCCCACAGGTAAGAGCCTGGGAGAACTGCAGAGTTCCAGCACCAGCCTTTGTCTTACATAGTGGAGTATTATAAGCAAGATCCACCTCGGCCGGGCGCGGTGGCTCAAGCCTGTAATCCCAGCACTTTGGGAGGCCGAGGCGGGCGGATCACAAGGTCAGGAGATCGAGACCACAGTGAAACCCCGTCTCTACTAAAAATACAAAAAATTAGCCGGGCGTGGTGGCGGGCGCCTGTAGTCCCAGCTACTCAGGAGGCTGAGGCAGGAGAATGGCGGGAACCCGGGAGGCGGAGCTTGCAGTGAGCCGAGATCGCGCCACTGCACTCCAGCCTGGGCAACAGCGTGAGACTCCGTCTCAAAAAAAAAAAAAAAAAAAAAAAAAAAAAGATCCCCCAATGGGGGTTCCTCAGATTGCTGAGATGTTGTAAAGGCTATTCTATTTCTCTATCACCCTCCAAACAAAACAGCACCTAAATGTTATCCTATGGCAAAAAAAAAAAAAAAAGCTATACCTTGTCCCCCTTCTCAAGAGCATGAAGGTGGTGAATAGTTAGGATTTAGTATGTTATGTATTCAGATGGCATCGAGCTGCTGTTAGTGCCAACATGTTAGTGAGAAAATACCTTTGGATAGGTAAAACTCAAGAAGTTCTGCTCTTCCTAAACCATTACTTACATAGAAGAAAGCACAGCAGCTGGCCCACCATGGACAGACCCAGAGCAGGGGAAGAATCTTGGTGAACATTTTTTTTTTTTTTTTTTGAGATGGAGTCTCTGTTGCCCAGGCTGGAGTGCAGTGGCGTGATCTTGGCTCACTGCAACCTCCACCTCCCAGGTTCAAACGATTCTCCTGCCTCAGCCTCCCAAGTAGCTGGGACTACAGGCGTGTGCCACCACGCCCAGCTAATTTTTTGAATTTTTTTTTTTTAGTGGAGACGGGGTTTCACCATGTTAGCCAGGATGGTCTCGATCTCCTGACCTCATGATCCACCCGCCTCGGCCTCCTGAAGTGCTGGGATTACAGGCCTGAGCCACCACACCCAGCCCTCTTGGTGAACATTTTCTAATTAAACTTGACACTGAATACAATGTTATACTTAGGACTGCAATAAAGCTCACCTGGAGTTGCGCAGCACAAAGGCCCTGGTGTGTGTATAAATTTGGTTGGTTCTTTTCACAGCAAAAGCTACCCACCTTTGCCTCCTATGCCTGCTTCTGCCCATGGACTTAGGTCCTCTTACACCTTAGAGGAAGGCCTTAGCATCTGGTCACAGGCAGATGAGTGACAGCAAGAAAACCTGGCAGCAATGTAATTTTGTTTCCATCCTCTTTATTAGTTATCAATTGGATTTTTATGAAATTTCCAAGTTCCACTCAAGGATTTCTGTGTTTTTTTACTTTGGTATAGTGCAAACCAGGGTTGCCAGCAAGTATTATTTTGGGGGTGAGTTAGTCAGCCTTCGTTCAGTCAGACAGACAGGAGCACCTCAGCAATTCCCAGAAACAGGCTGATGGGAAAGAGCAACATACATGAATGTCTTGAAGAACACATCCAACAGGGCCCATTGGGCAGTTCTGATTTTCCAGGTACACGGAGAACATCTCCACAGTCTCTTCTGATTTCTTTCCCCCTGAGTATATGGATTCCAGCTCAGCATGTAGCCTTTCCCTGCTGAGTCTCTAACCCGGATGACGTGTATTTTTTTGACTGGATGAATTATCTTCCCATCTCTTGACATTTACAGTAATTACCACCAAGTATGGTATTTTCAGTGGCCATGATTATCAATTACCAACACAGAATTAGGATGAAGGGAGAAAGGGAGGGAAGGAAGGTGGGTGTTTTTTCACACAGTGTCTTAGCCAGCAATTTAGCAAATTAATGGAAATTAGATCTTCGATTTTTTTTTTTCTTTCAAGCATTTTATTTGAGAGACTGTCAAACCTTCTACCAAGTGGCCTTATGGAGACTGATAACCAGAGTACATAGCATATCAGTGGCAAATTGACTTAAAATCCATACCCCTGGTATTTTAAGACCATTGTTCTTTGGAGCAGAGAGAGAGACTCTCCCACTGAGAGGTCTTGCTATAAGCCTTCATCCGGAGAGTGTAGGGTAGAGGACCTGAGTTAAGTACACAGATTACTGCGGTGATTTTACATCTAAATGTCCATTTTAGATCAACTGGAGTGGATGGTACAGCTTTGTGGTGCTTCTGTGGTGAAGGAGCTTTCATCATTCACCCTTGGCACAGTAAGTATTCGCTGCCCTGTCAGAGAGGAAGGGCACAGTATTCTCTCCTGTGATTGAGCAAGACTGGCACCTGTCAGTCCCTATGGACGCCCCTACTGTAGCCTCAGAAGTCTTCTCTGCCCACATACCTGTGCCAGAAGACTCCATCTGTAAGGGATGGATGAGGATTTGAGAACTGCACATATTAAATATACTGAGGGAAAGCTCTTTCCCTCTAACTCTTTTTGCCATATGCCCCTCCCTCTCCTCTCTGACTGCCCCAGCATACTGTGTTTCAACAAATCATCAAGAAATGACGGGCTCGCCGGGCGCGGTGGCTCACGCCTGTAATCCCAGCACTTTGGGAGGCCGAGGCGGGCGGATCACAAGGTCAGGAGATCGAGACCACGGTGAAACCCCGTCTCTACTAAAAATACAAAAAATTAGCCGGGCGCGGTTGTGGGCGCCTGTAGTCCCAGCTACTCGGGAGGCTGAGGCAGGAGAATGGCGTGAACCCGGGAGGCGGAGCTTGCAGTGAGCCGAGATCGCGCCACTGCACTCCAGCCTGGGCGACAGAGCGAGACTCCGTCTCAAAAAAAAAAAAAAAAAAAAAAAAAAAAAAGAAATGACGGGCTCAGCCGGGCGCAGTGGCTCAAGCCTGTAATCCCAGCACTTTGGGAGGCCGAGACAGGTGGATCACGAGGTCAGGAGATCGAGACCATCCTGACTGACACGGTGAAACCCCGTCTCTACTAAAAAAATACAAAAAAATTAGCCGGGCGAGATGGCGGGCGCCTGTAGTCCCAGCTACTCGGGAGGCTGAGGCAGGAGAATGGCGTGAACCCGGGAGGCGGAGCTTGCAGTGAGCTGAGATCGCGCCACTGCACTCCAACCCAGGCGACGGAGCGAGACTCCGTCTCAAAAAAAAAAAAAAGAAAGAAATGATGGGCTGGACGCTGGGCATGGTGGCTCATGCCTGTAATCCCAGCACTTTGGGAGGCCAAGGCAGGTGGATCACTTGTCAGGAGTTTGAGACCAGCCTGGCCAACATGGTGAAACCCCATCTCTGCTAAAAAAAAAAAAAAAAAAATACAAAAATTAGCCAGGCCTGGTGGAGCATGCCTGTAATCCCAGCTACTTGGGAAGCTGAGGTGTGAGAATCGCTTGAACCTGGGAGGCAGAGGTTGCAGTGAGCCAAGATTGCACCACTGCACTCCAGCCTGGGTGACAGTGAGGCTTCGTCTAAAAAAAAAGAGAAAAGGCCGGGCGCGGTGGCTCACGCCTGTAATCCCAGCACTTTGGGAGGCCAAAGCAGGCGGATCACGAGGTCAGGAGATAGAGACCATCCTGGCTAACATGGTGAAACCCCATCTCTACTAAAAATACAAAAAATTAGCTGGGCGTGGTGGCGGGTACCTGTAATCCCAGCTACTTGGGAGGCTGAGGCAGGAGAATGGCATGAACCCATGAGGCGGAGCTTGCAGTGAGCCGAGATTGTGCCACTGCGCTCCAGCCTGGAGAATCGCTTGAACCCGGGAGGCAGAGATTGTAGTGAGCTGAGATCACGCCATTGCACTCCAGCCTAGGTGACAGAGCGAGACTCCGTCTCAAAAAAAAAAAAAGAAAAAATGAAAAAATGATGGACTGGGCCTAGTGCCTCACACCTATAATCACAACACTTTGGGAGGCCGAGGTGGGAGAATCGCTTGAGCCTGGGAGCTCAAGACCAGCCTGGGAAATACAGTAGGACTTCATGTCTACAAAAAAATTATTAAAAATTAGCTGAGGCCAGGTGCGGTGGCTCATGCCTGTAATCCCAGTGGGGAAGTTGAGCCCAGGAGTTTGAGACCAGCCTGGGCAACATGGCGAAACCTTGTCTGTACCAAAAATACAAAAAAATTAGCCAAGGGTGGTGGTATGTATCTGTAGTTTCAGCTACTTGGGAGGCTGAAGTGGAAGGATTGCTTGAGCCCAGGAGGCAGAGGTTGCAGTGAGCTGAGATCACACCACTGCACTCCAGCCTGGGTGATGTAGCAAGACCCTGTCTCAAAAAAAAAAAAAAATGATGACGTGACAGTTCCAATAGTCCTGCTCTCACACTCTCAATGCTCTTTCCTTCCTGGGGATCCAGGGTTTCCACCCAATTGTGGTTGTGCAGCCAGATGCCTGGACAGAGGACAATGGCTTCCATGGTAAGGTGCCTGCATGTACCTGTGCTATATGGGGTCCTTTTGCATGGGTTTGGTTTACCACTCATTACCTGGTGCTTGAATAGCACAGTTCTTAGCACATTTTGAATATTTGTTGAATGAAGGGCTAAAATGTCTTTTTGACGTTTTTATTGTTGTTTGTTTTATATTGTAAAAGTAAGACATGAACTGTTTCCATAGGGTGGGAGTAAGATATGAATGTAGATCACAAAAATATAAATCAAGGCCGGGGATGGTGGTTCATGCCTATAATTCCAGCACTTTGGGAGGCCAAGATGGAGGCCAAGGTGGGAGTGCAGGAGTTCGAGACCAGCCTGGGCAACATAAGGAGACTTCATCTGTACAACAAATTTAAAAAGTAGCTGGGTCTGGTGGCAGATGCCTGTAGTCGCAGCTACTTGGGAAGCTGAGGTGGGAGGATCACTTGAGCTCAGGAGGTCGATGCTACAGTGAGCCACGATCATACCACTGCACTCCAGCCTGGGCGACACAGCGAGACCATGTCTCAAAAAGAAAAAAGAAAGTATAAATTTACACAAAAACAATAAAATAATCCCAGTAATTCCACTACTTGGAGATGATCACCATAAAATTCCACCAGGCATATGTGCATATATATACACGGGTGTATTTTATAAAATGTGATCATAATTACACTGTTTTGCTTTTTTCCTTAAGTTATCACATACATTTTTCCATATTGTTAAATTACAGTGCTGTTTTCCTGGTGGCTTTCCTTTAACAGATTGAAGTTCATGTTAATACAGTTGCCAGAGGCTGTGGGCTTTCACCAGCTGTCACTCCTTGGGCCTCTTCAGAGCAAGGCCTTATGTCCTGAAGCATTGCTTTTTTTTTTTTTTTTTTTTTTTTTTTTTGAGGTGGAGTCTCACTCTGTCACCCAGCAGGCTGGTGTACAGTGGCCCAGTCTTGGCTCACTGCAACCTCCGCCTCCTGGGTTCAAGTGATTCTTCTGTGTCAGGATCACCTGACATCAGGAGTTTGAGACCAGCCTGGCCAACATGGTGAAACCCCATCTCTATTAAAAATACTAAAAAAAAATTAGCCAGGCATGGTGGCACACGCTTGTAGTCCCAGTTACTTGGGAGACTGAGGCAGGAGAATTGCTTGAACCCGGGAGGTGGAGGTTGCAGTGAGCTGAGATTGCACCATCACAATCCAGCCTGAGTGACAGAGCGAGACTCCATCTCCGAAAGAAAAATATAATTATCCTGGCGTGGTGGCAGGCACCTGTAATCCCTGCTACTTGGGAGGCTGAGGCAGGAGAATCACTTGAACCTGGGAGGTGGAGGTTACAGTGAGTTGAGATCGTGCCATTGCACTCCAGGCTGAGCAACAGGAGCAAGACTGTCTCAAAAAAAAAAAAAAGGCCAGGCGTAGTGGCTCACGCCTGTAATCCCAATACTTTGGGAGGCCAAGGCAGGTGGATCACCTGAGGTCAGGAGTTCAAGCCCAGCCCGGCCAACATCGTGAAAACCCGTCTCTACTAAAAATGCAAAAATTAGCCAGGTGTGGTGGCGTGTGCCTGTAATTCCAGCTACTCGGGAGGTGGAGACAGGAGAATTGCTTGAACCCGGGAGGTGGAGGTTGAATGAGCCAAGATTGCGCCATTGCACTCCAGCCTGGGCGACAGAGCAAGACTCCGTCTCAAAAAAGAATAATAATAATTGGCTTCTACCTCATTAATCCTAAGAATTAATGCAACCAGGACCCTGGAGTCTATTGATTAGAACCTGGTCCAGGAGAATGAATTGACACTAATCTGTGCTTGTGTTCTCTGTCTCTAGCAATTGGGCAGATGTGTGAGGCACCTGTGGTGACCCGAGAGTGGGTGTTGGACAGTGTAGCACTCTACCAGTGCCAGGAGCTGGACACCTACCTGATACCCCAGATCCCCCACAGCCACTACTGATTGCAGCCAGCCACAGGTACAGAGCCACAGGACTCCAAGAATGAGTTTACGAAGTGGCCTTTCCAGGCCCTGGGAGCTCCTCTCACTCTTCAGTCCTTCCACTGTCCTGGCTACTAAATATTTTATGTGCATCAGCCTGAAAAGGACTTCTGGCTATGCAAGGGTCCCTTAAAGATTTTCTGCTTCAAGTCTCCCTTTGAAATCTGCCATGAGCACAAAATTTTGGTAATTTTTCACCTGAGAAGATTTTAGACCATTTAAACGCCACCAATTGAGCAAGATGCTGATTCATTATTTATCAGCCCTATTCTTTCTATTTGGGCTGTTGGCTTAGGGCTGGAAGCACGGAGCGGCTTGGCCTCAAGAGAACAGCTGGTTTCCCTAAATTTGCTTCTCTAAAACCCTGTGTTCACAAAGGCAGAGAGTCAGACCCTTCAATAGAAGGAGAGTGCTTGGGATCGATTATGTGACTTAAAATCAGAATAGTCCTTGGGCAGTTCTCAAATGTTGGAGTGGAACACTGGGGAGGAAATTCTGAGGCAGGTATTAGAAATGAAAATGAAACTTGAAGGCTGGGCATGGTGGCTCACGCCTGTAATCCCTGTACCTTGGGAGGGTGAGGCAAGTGGATCACTGGAGGTCAGGAGTTCAAAACCAGCCTGGCCAACATGGTGAAACCCCATCTCTACCAAAAATACAAAAATTAGCCAGGCATGGTGGTGGACACCTGTAATCCCAGCTACTCGGGTGGCTGAAGCAGGAGAATCGCTTGAGCCCGGGAGGTGGAGTGGTTACAATGAGCCAAAATCATAACACAGCACTCCAGCCTGAGTGACACAGTGAGACTGTGGCTCCAAAAAAAAAGAAAGGAAAATGAAACTAGAAGAGATTTCTAAAAGTCTGAGGTATATTTGCTAGATTTCTAAAGAATGTGTTCTAAAACAGCAGAAGATTTTCAAGAACCGGTTTCCAAAGACAGTGTTCTAATTCCTCATTAGTAATAAGTAAAATGTTTATTGTTGTAGCTCTGGTATATAACCCATTCCTCTTAAAATATAAGACCTCTGGCATAAATATTTCATGTCTATAAAATGACAGATCCCACCAGGAAGGAAGCTGTTGCTTTCTTTGAGGTAATTTTTTTCCTTTTGCTCCCTATTGCTGAACCACACAGCTTCATAAATAATTTTGCTTGCCAAAGGAAGAAAAAGTGTTTTTCATAAACTCATTATCCAGAACTGTTTATAGCTGTTGGAAGGACTAGGTCTTCCCTAGCCGCCCCCCCGTGTGCAAGGGCAGTGAAGACTTGATTGTACAAAATACCTGTTGTAAATATTGTGCTGTTAACACTGCAAATAAACTTGGTAGTAAACACTTCCACCATGAATGACTGTTCTTGAGACTTAGACCAACTGACTTGTTTCAGAGCCTTTTCACTGTGCTTCAGTCTCCTCCTCTGTAAAATGGGGTTAATGATAGTATCAACCTCTTAGGATTTATTGAGGCAGCTTAAATACCTTTTGTATTTCCTGTTGCTACCAAAACAAATTGTTGCAAGGTCAGAAGTCTGAGGTGGCTCAACTGTTTCTTTGTTTCAGGTTTCATGAGGCCAAAATAAAGGTGTTTGCAGGGCGCCGTTCCCTTCTAGAGGCTCTGGGAATAAGTCCTTGTAGTTTTAGAACTAAGATCCCTGTTTCCCACCGGCTGTCGGCTGGGCATCATTCTCAGCTTCTTGAGGTTCCCCACATTCCTAGGCTTCTAGTCCGTCTGCCTCCACCTTCAAAACCAGCAATGGGTGGTCAAGTTTTTCTCACACTGAATCTTGCTGACTGCTCCATCTTTCTAACTCCTGCCAGAGACATGTCTCTGTTTCTAAGGGCTCAAGTGATTAGATTGCACCCACCTGGTAATCCAAAGTGATCTTCATATCTTAAAGTCCATAGCCTTAGCCATAGCTGCAAAGTCCCTTCACAGCAGTACCTAGGTTAGTGTTGGATTGAATAACCAGAAGACAGCAATCAAGGGAAGACATCTTTAGAATTCTGCCTACCACTTGTATTTAACATGCTTAATCCACAGATGACACTCTCTATCATTATTTCCTGGTCCTCACACTGCTCAGAGATTGGAATCCTCTTTGAGCAAAGAGAGTGAAGTCATCACACAATTCAGTCCTGCTGTATTTGCTGGAGACAGTGAAGGAGGATAGAGAAAATGGAGCTAACTGCCAGTATTACATTTTATATCAGTCTTCATCATAGCCCTATGAAGCGGGTATTTGTTACCTCATTGGAAAAATGGGAGTTGAATCTCAAGTTCCTTGTTTGTAAGATTTTACTCAGATTTGCACAGCTAATAAATGACTACATGAAGATCCAAAGCCACCTTTCTGTTCCCATCATCAGCTTTCCATCTGCCTCTGTCACTGGACCCTGGGACAGAAGGTTCAAGCCTTAAGGGAATTTGGGGAGAGAACTAGATTTTGAGAGGAACTCGCACTCACTTCCTTTTTGGGCCATGGTAGGAGATAGTAAAAGCAGCCCCATGTCAGGCAAAGGGTCTTACAGTAGTGGATCATGGCTGCTATTTCCACTTCTCTCTGGCCTTCCAGCTTATGACTGTATCTTAGTTGTCAAAGCCTTCCAGTTCATCCTCACCTACAGCTTGACTTCCCTAGGGCCCATGCCAGCTCCCTGTCTACCTGCCAGCGAGTTGATGAGTCTCCGTGTTAGCAGTAAAGTCAGGCAGGAAGCAAGCAGAAGTGCTACTGGGCCTTGAGGCTAAGCCAGGCCTCAGCCTTCTGACCCCATCACTGTTGGGTTAATAGGAAAAGCAGTATCCATCTAGTACAGCCTGCGTTTTCAGGAATAGTGAGTGAAAGCAAAGATGACTAAAATACATTAAAGTTTTCTGTAATTGTCTCTAAGGTCTCCCAACAAATATACACCCCATCTGTTTCAAGTTCTGCATAACCTTTCCCAAAAGTCAAGTTCAGGCCCTGGCCTCATGATGCCTGGCCCAGGTTAAGAGTCTACCTAAGGCCGGGCGCGGTGGCTCACGCCTGTAATCCCAGCACTTTGGGTGGCCGAGGCGGGCGGATCACAAGGTCAGGAGATCGAGACCACGGTGAAACCCCGTCTCTACTAAAAATACAAAAAACTAGCCGGGCGCGGTTGTGGGCGCCTGTAGTCCCAGCTACTCGGGAGGCTGAGGCAGGAGAATGGCGTGAACCCGGGAGGCGGAGCTTGCAGTGAGCCGAGATCGCGCCACTGCATTCCAGCCTGGGCGACAGAGCAAGACTCCGTCTCAAAAAAAAAAAAAAAAAAGAGTCTACCTAAGGGGCCCGGTGCAGTGGCTCACGCCTGTAATCCCAGCACTTTGGGAGGCCAAGGCTGGCTGATCACCTGAGTTCAGGAGTCCGAGATCAGCCTGGGCAATACGGTGAAACCCCATCTCTACTAAAAATACAAAATTAGCCGAGCATGGTGACACTTGCCTGTAATGCCAGCGACTTGGGACGCTGAGGCAGGAGAATCTCTTGAGCTGCGAGGCGGAGGATGCGGTGAGCCGAGATCGTGCCATTGCACTCCAGCCTTTGTAACAAGAGTAAATCTCTGTCTCACCAAAAAAAAAAAAATAGTCCTACCTGAGGAGAGTTAATCCATGTTCCTTTGACCTCTGACTTTAAGATGTCCTCCCACTTTTCCACCCCACAATCTCTAGCCCTCTCTGGGCACAGCAGCACTTGGGAACTGGTTCCTGTACTGCCTTTATCTCATTTTACAAAACAAACTTCTACAAAGAAGCTGGAAAGGAAGGAGAAAGGATTATCATGCAGGCACAGGGAGGGGGCCTAGAGAAGAGCTCTGGCAGATTATGTCCCTCCTAAAAAATGCAACCAGAATCATCAAAAAGTATTGCCTCAAAAACATGCAGGAGAAAAAGAAAGGAATCAGTGTTGGGGTAGTTGGAGCGGAAGGAGCCAAGCTGCCCAGAATGTGTCCTCTGAAGGCTGCGAGGAGCAGATAAGGTCAGCCCCAGAGGCAGACGGCACACAGAGAATGGCAGGATGAGGGGGAGCTGCAGATTTATGCAAAGAAGTCCCAGAGAATGGGGCCAGCTACCCAGGGAATGTGGGGGCTCACTTATCAAAGACTACTGGAAAATGGCTGAGCCGGCAGCCCCCTCCACTATAGTGATGCATGGTTCCCTTGAACACCCAGTAACTGCCTGTAACAAGGAGAAAATTAAAGAAACTAATCTGGCCAAATAGAAAATTAAGGAAAACTAGAAACAGCTCCTATGGAGAGCAGGGATTGGGGAGGTGTAGAGGGAGCTGATCCTGAATGTCTGGAGGATCAGGAGAATGTAAGCAATTGTTGAAGGGACTAGAAGGAATCGAGATCTAGAGAGACATCCCCCCGACTCTCGTGGCTGGGGAATATGAGCTGTGGAGACATGGTTTCAAGAACTCAAAATGGGTCGGGCGCGGTAGCTCAAGCCTGTAATCCCAGCACTTTGGGAGGCCGAGACGGGCAGATCACGAGGTCAGGAGATCGAGACCATCCTGGCTAACACGGTGAAACCCCGTCTCTACTAAAAATACAAAAAAAAAATTAGCCAGGCGAGGTGGCGGGCACCTGTAGTCCCAGCTACTCGGGAGGCTGAGGCAGGAGAATGGTGTGAATCCAGGAGGCGGAGCTTGCAGTGAGCCGAGATCCAGCCACTGCACTCCAGCCTGGGCGACAGAGCAAGACTCCATCTCAAAAAAAAAAAAAAAAAACCTCAAAATGATATGTGACAGCTTAACATTACAGTTCAGTGCAAGGTTCTCAAAGCATGATCCCCTGATAGGAGTGTGAGGGGGCAACACCATCACCTAGGAATTTGTTAGATATGCAAATTCCCAGACTCAGTGAATCCCAGACTTAGGTGGGGCCAGCAACCTGTGATTCTGCAACAGGCTCAAGTTTGAGAACAAATGGCTTAGTGTAAGGGGCTGCTAATTGGTATATAAATGTTACCTGTGGTCTATTATTTTGTCTGTAGTGAATCTTGGGCTTGTTAAGGATAAATAAGGTTTGTGGGCTGGTAAGTGGTTCGCTACAAGGTTGCAACAGCTGACTTCAGTTACCTTCAAGAAGGCCCTTTAAGCAAAAACAGTAGTCCCCCCACTTATCCATGGTTTTGATTTCAGTTACTTATGGTCAACCATGGTCCAAAAATATTAAAAGGAAAATTCCGGAAACAAGTCATACGTTTTAAATTGTACACCATTCTGAGTATTGTTTGACTTGTTCTATTTTATTAGTTATTGTTAATCTCTTACTGTGCCCAATTTATAAATTAAATTTTATCATAGGTATGTATGTATAGGGAAAAACATCATATATACAGGGTTTGGTACTATCTGAGGGTTCAGGCATCCACTTGTCGTCTTGGAACATATCCCCCGCAGATAAGGGGGGACTGCTGTACAATGCAAAGGACAAAGATTAAATTATATTAGCAATCTAGGAGCAGAAGGGCAAGACTGCTTTTTTAAAAAACAGCTAAAGGTTTAGGAGGTTTTATTAATATTTAAATTGTATTGAAACCACAGCTGCAGCCTTTGACTCCAGCATAGATATGCAAATGTGGCTTTCAAAAGAAAGGCAATTTCAGACAGCCCTCAAGGTAACAAGAACAAATAAAACAAATGATTTTGTAATTTATCTTTATTGACTGATGGTGCGCAAGGCACAGACACCCATACCCTGTGAGAGTCAGCAACAGCTGAGCTCTCTGAGGAGCGAAGAGAAAGCCAGCCTGGAGGGAGATGCAGGCCGACCCGTGGACGGTAACAGAAAACACACAGAGCAGGCAGATGGGAGAAGAAGACAACTGAGTTAAAAGGGAAGGAAAATGAAAACCCAGCCCTGGATCCTGTAAACCATCTGATCTTGCTGGCTCTCAGCAGCAACAACAATAATCATTAATGACTATCATTTGCCACACTCCTAAGTGCCACGCACTATTCCCCACATACAAATGAGGAAAATGAAGCTTTGAGAGGTCAAGCAACTTACCCAAGATCACACAACAAAAGGAAGGGGCAGAACCCAGATTCAAACAAAGATTTGTGTGAGACTGAAGCCCTGTGCTCTTTCCAGTGCATTGCACTGGGAACCAGTCCTGGGAGGCGGTGAATAACAATAAGGTTAATGATTGAGGGGACACTTTGTGCCCGGTTCTGTGGTATTCTGTATGGGCATGCGTGTGTCTGTGTGTGCGTGTATGTGTGTAGCTATGGAAAACAGGGTGAAAAACTCCATTTCTGACCTTCAAATTGGTTACTATCCAATGAGTGAGGCAAGAAAAGAAAGCCAAAGAAAACTTGC